TGGAGGTGTTATGATGTCGTGGTGTGATCTTTAGTGCGATGAGCATGATGGTTTCAGGTGTGATCCGAGGACAGATTAGGGATTGTGAGATGGGGTTGTGTGTTGTTAGATAGGCGATGGGGTTGTGTGTTAGTTAAAGTGATTGGGGACAGTTTAGTCTCTTGAGCTGGTGAGAACGGTGTTGCCAGATAGGCTTTTTTTTCTTTGACGAGTCGTGGGTTGATGTGACTGACGTGACAAGTCTTATTCCTTGTGTTTCTGTGATGTGAGCATTGGTACTCTTATCATAAGTGTTACGAGGTAGCGTATGCAAGGTTCTGATGTTGACTGTGTATGACGGTCCGTTTTTGGCGAGGTCGCCTAGAGTTGCGGTCGTAGCCTCGTATGTGTATCTAGTTGGTTCTTCTCCTTGTGTATAAGGAGTTCTTTTTGTCTCAGGTGAGATTGAGTGTCCATAGCTGGACGATTGATGAATAGCATGTGACTAGTCACTAGGTGCACTCAGGCATAAGTCATTAGTCTCTTGTGAGAGCCAAGCTTGCTACCCTTTCTGTTGTTCCAGTCCTGGCAAGGACGTTGTTTGTTGTGAGTCTTGTCTCTGTCTAGGAATTATGCGCGTCTATAGGTGGACAGATTGTAAGTAGGTATTGCGCCGTTAGAGTTCATCGATTGAGGTTTTGATTGAAAGAGGGTCAACTTACTTCCACGGAGGAATGTATAGTTTTTGGTTTTTAGTGGTGTTTGTTTTGGGAATGGTTTTGATTGGTGGGATGTATGGCACAGGTTGCCGAATGAGGGTTATGTTTCTGATGATTAGTGCTAGCGGTGATGGCTAGGGAATGTGTCGTGAATTGCAGTTTGAGGATGATTAGGTGATATGACTCATGTATTTGGATGACTTTAGAAGTGATTGATTTTAGTAGTGTCTTGAGGACAAATGTCGATATTGTTTGAATGTTTTGCAGCTAGAGCGTGAATGTGGGATTCCGTTGAAGAACTGTAGGAGTGATTGACCTTGATTTTGAGGTTTTAAATATAAGACGATCGTATTAAGAGTTTTGGAGAGGTAAGAATCAAAACGAATGGTGACTTGGAGTCATTTACCTGGTGTGGATGTTATGAGGAGATTGGGATCTTTTATACTAGTTGGTGATTGTGATGTTTAGTGTCGTTTTGTTTTCAGCTTGTTAAGGGTTGTGTAATTAAAGTGCGATTAGGATTTTAGAGCTGATATGTGACTGTATGGCGGATGAGGTTACGTAGAGTGATAGATTGATTAGAGAGTAGATCTTTTGTGGACGGTATAGGGTTGTGTTTGAGGTTTAGACCTGAGGACAAGAACAACGTCTGTGTCGAGCTCGGATTGAAGATGAAGATGGCCTGGCCAACCATTTCTCCTGAATCAATCCCTCTTTGGCATGATGTTGGGTCAAGGGTCAATGATTGCTCCGACTTGTTAGTGATAGTGAGGGTATGGTAACAATGTGGACTTACATAATTTATCTTGGGTGACGAAAGATGTTCAATGGTATGGGGTGTTTGATAACAGGTTAGTGGTACGATCATTGATTATTGAGAATCTCGTTTTGATGACTTGTGTTCAGAATACAAGGTGATACATTTTATTGTTTTGGTGACTCGTGATTATATGATTGTTGAGAGATTCATCATTTAGTTATCTTAAGGTTGACTAGTATGATAATTGCCCGCAGGCGTGATTGGTGGTCGTTGTGTGATATGTAGTTGCATAACCATATGTTAGATGACAGGTGTTGATTTAACAGAGATGTATTGATTTGAGTTTGAGTCTGATCCTCGTTGGGGTTTGGTTTGTCCTTTAAAGCGGCAACTTGTGATAGGACGTTGTTATGTTTGGGGGTCTTACGACCATTCTTCTTACGAGCCTTATATAGCTGTATAGAGAGGACCAATGTTGGTTTTAAGTTGAGTATAGAATTCAGCGGGTTTTGTGTATAGTGTTGTGAGTGAGGAGTAGCCTCATAGGGTGATGATCACTGGATTTTCTGACGGCAAAGTGTGATTACCTGTTGACGCCGGTGTCAAAGGCAATAAGGATGTCGAGTCCCTTGTCTTAGGGTTTTGTGAGGTGTTTCTGGGAAAGGTATGTGATTGTGCCCCTTCTCTTTACGGAGGGTTGATTTCGAGGACGAAATCTCTTTAAGGAGGGAAGATTGTTACGTTTCCAATTTTTTTTACCATTTTAAATTTTTCTGGAATTTTGTCGCCGTAAGGGCATTCTTGTCTTTTTTCTTAGTTGGGTCCATTTGCATTTTGTGCATGCTAATTCATATGAGTAATATAGTATTTATATGGTAGTGTATTTAAATATGTTTGTGGTACAAATAAAAGCAAAAGAAAAAGGTATAAGAAAATAAAATGCATGGGACCCACCACCATCAACTTAAAGGTCTTGAGACCACATTTTGGTCTCTAACTTTCCTCTCCCGCTGGTTCTCCTTCTTCCCTCTCTTACTTGCGTTTTTATTTTTCTTTGGGAAGCTAACTTTAATCTTTGATAATTCTCTCAATCCTTGGAAACTTTGAGTGTCGTTTGAGGCAAAACGGAGAGCACGACGAGCTCTACGCATTGATACCAACAATTTCAGATTTGGTGCTTCCTTTGGCCTTTAAGAAATCGAATTTCTTGACCATTTTAAGGGTTTTGCTCCAATTTGAGGTAGGGGCTCTTAATTCACAATTTTTTTGCTTCTATGTGAATTACATCTTCTAAATTGTTGCAAGACATGCTTATTTGTGCTAGTTGTAGTTTAAAAATAGTTAACACATGTATATGTGGTTATGTGAGAGCTTGTATTAAATGTTTTATGTGGAAAACGTGCCTACGTGATGATTTGTATATGTTTGTTATGCTAGATGTATTGTTGTATGAGAGCATGTTGAAATTTCTTGGGAAATTCTTACGAAATTATGTATTACTTACCTAAATTGAGTTGGTTGTGGAATGATGAGTATTAGCATGACATAAATGCATCTATGCATTTACATTGGGCAAGAAATGGGAAAAAATTGACTTTGAAATGAAAAAGGGGAGTTTTGGGAAAGAATGTATTGATGAAAGTGTTTTGATAAAATCCGGTCGCTGCGGAGTCACCAACGGGCCGGTAGGTTAATGTAACCTATAGGGAACTAGGGAGATTGCCCTAGCGTGGTTGAGCTATCTGGGCTCCATAATGACGCTGCGGAGTCACCAAAGGTCAGGGATAGTAGTCAATCCTTCTCTCGACGCTGCGTAGTCACCAAAGGGGGTTACATTAACGGTTTGAAAGTGATGGTTTCGAAAATGGGGAGCGACATTGGCATGCATTGCATCCCATAGCATTCTATTGTTTATAATGAGACTACTTGTTATGTTGTGTTATTCCGACAATGTATGATCCCCATTCCTATTGTCCTATTCTTTGGTTGGATTCACAGGGACACAAGAGACGTGTCTTAAGTGTTACCTACTTAGCAATTTGCTCACCCCACATAATTAATATTTTTCAGGTCATGGCAAGGAATTGGCGGAAGATAATCCACCACAGAGCTAAGGAAACTTAAGGCATTTTTGAATGTATTTTGTGGGACTTAAACTATTTTTGTAAAGTGCATGACACAAAATGTATTATTTTTGCAATATGTAAAACATGTGGATTATGTAATTAAATTCGTATCATGTGAATTCCCGTATATCATATAACGTGTTGTAAATTACGTTATCAACGTGGTGGTTATTATTACAATTAAATGTTGAAATATATCTTAGTTTATGTACGTGAGTGTAGTGGCACAGTGTTTGGACAGTGGTGAGGATAACCCAAACTAGTCGACGTGCAGCTTCCTATACGTCGACATTTTCCTGACAGTAAATGACCCAAACCAGTCCCGTACGTCGACCGGTATCTTACAGTGTGGTAATCTTGTACACGTCCCAAACCAGTCGACGTATGGCTTCAACCGGTATCTTGGCAGTGGGTTTCCACTGTTCATATCCAAACCAGTCGATGTATGGAGTGGATACGTCGACCGGTTTCTATCACTTATGTAATATGTGTTTAGTTTCCCAAAATTACACCTAGGCATCCATTTGAAGTTGCACGTAATTATTTTATGACCCAATAAAATGCCATAATTATATTTTAACCCCCAAAAGGATTATATTACCCCGAACCTTATTTTATTTGTTATGTGATACAAGTTAATGACCGTTGTACCCTTGAGTCTCAATTTATTGAATTGTAATAAATTACCATTTTGCCCTTTTGGACCTTGTTATTTAAATTTAATGTGAAAAGACCGTTTTACCCTCGGATGATTTTGGGTCGGGTAAGGACCCGTTTAATGATCCGGATCCATAAGGATTTGGGTCGTTACAATACCCATCCATTTATACCCAATCACTTTCCTATCCGGATCCGATTTGGGACAAGTCTCCCCTCGTAACACCTATCCACTAACTAGAGTAGTACTCCAAGCAATTTAATCTGGCTGACCAATGACCAAAGTTAGGGTATGCTTAGTTTGTAACTCTGGAAATAACGTTCTTTTAGACAACTATAAAAAATAGTTATCTAAAAACAGACCTTTTATAATTGAATTTTCAAAAAACTGAATCAAGTAAAATTTTTGTATAGTTTTTTTTTGTGCCTTTTTATACACTTTTATGTTTTTCAAGAGTTACAAACCGTGCTGCCCTTAATATCTCTCTGTCTGCATCTATATTCAAAAGCCAAATTCATGGTCTTTTTATAGTCAATTTGAACCAACATATGGTATAAAGATAGGTGGTTCTCTAAAGACTGCATTGCTAAATTTAGATGCATTCATGCATAGTGGTATGTGTACCGCAGATTGAGGCACAAAGAGAGACCATTTGTGATGAGGGATGGCATTAAGGAACGTATTATATATATATATATATATATATATATATATATAATACCATTGGCCTTTGAATCTCTCATTTGAGGAATTCTCTGTCAAGGAAGGGGAATGGCAGGTCACAATGGGGATGCAGTTCCTCATTCTGACCACCCGGATAATCTCTACTCCGATGTTGACTTAACCGGTAAGTCCCCCCCCCCCCCCCCCCCCTCCCCCCCTCTCTAAATTATGATGAATGATTACTCCAAGAAAATGCCTCATGGGTCTTAGGAAATAGATGGTTATCCTCCTCCTCCACCCAAAAAAAAAAAGAAAAAAAAAAGAAAAGAAAAGATACATGCATACATAAAAAGTGATACATGGTACCTCCACAAAAATTGTAACCGGAAATAATAAGAATACTTTGGGAAAATGAACAATATTTTTCCATTTTCATGTTAGTGTTTGGTCAACTTCAATTTTTTTCAAAGATTCCATCAAAATAATAAATATGGGTCCATAGCACCATACCATTTATTTGTAATAGTTATTCCTTTTTTGAATTATATATTGAGAACACTTACTGAAAAAATGAATCAAAACTCCTAGTTTTCTAGGATCGTCTCATTTTCTTCTTGTACTTAGCATGTGTAAAATTCACTCTCTTTGGCATATATGTACAGATAAAGCAGGAGGGGAAGAAATGAATGATACTCCGATTGAGGAAGTTAGGCTGACGGTGCCAATTACGGACGACCCATCAATTCCAGCTCTGACATTCCGAACATGGGTTCTTGGTATCGTCTCCTGCTGCGTTCTTGCTTTCCTCAACCAGTTTTTCGGGTATCGACAGAACCCGATAGGTATTACTTCAGTTTCAGCACAGATTGTGGTTCTCCCACTAGGGGTGATGATGGCTAAGACACTTCCAGCCAAGTCTATAACTGTGCCATTTACAAAATGGAAATGCTCCATGAATCCGGGGCCATTCAACATGAAAGAACATGTCTTGATCACCATCTTTGCCAACTGTGGAGCCAACGGTGTTTATGCTGTTGGTATCACTACCATTGTCATGGCTTTTTACCACATGAAAATCGATCCTTGGGCAGCCTTGTTACTATCCCAAACTACTCAGGTACTATTTTTACTCCAATTAATTCCGCATTTCTATTCAATTTAATTTGTTATATACTGTATGGTTTACTCACCCAAACAGCGGATTTCTTATTAATTACCTATGTTTTTTTATACAAGTCAGATGCTTGGGTATGGCTGGGCTGGTTTGTTTAGAAAATACCTAGTGGACTCCCCCTATATGTGGTGGCCTTCCAACTTGGTCCAAGTTTCTCTATTCAGGTGTCATGCACCTTCCTCCCTCTCTCTACACACACAAACACCTCACATGCACAACAAGGCAACAACACCTAGAGTAGTGACAATGTTTATATTTATATTTGTACATAAAATGCAGGGCATTACATGAAAAAGAGAAGAGGCCCAAGGGAGGATATACCAGGCTACAATTCTTTCTCATAGTTTGTGTAGGAAGCTTTACCTATTACCTTGTACCAGCCTACTTCTTCCCTTCCATTGCTTCCATCTCAGTTGTCTGTTTGATTTGGAAGGACTCCGTCCTTGCCCAACAGCTTGGTTCGGGCCTCCATGGCCTCGGCATAGGTTCAGTCGGCTTTGACTGGGCCACCATTTCTGGCTTCCTGGGAAGTCCGTTGGCCACACCGGGATTTGCCATCATCAACATTCTTGTTGGCTTCTTCATATTTTCCTATATTATAATCCCCGTGTGTTATTTTAACAATGTTTACGAAGCCAAGCGATTTCCATTAATTGCCTCTAAAACTTATGACTTTGAAGGCCAGAAATACAATATTTCGCGAGTCTTGAACCCAAAAACGTTTCAACTTGATATAACTGGGTATGAAAATTACAGCAAACTCTACATCAGTGCCTTCTTTGTTTTCACATATGGCTGTAGCTTTGCAACTTTGGCCGCTGCTCTCTCACATGTCGCACTTTTCGATGGAAAGTAAGTTCCTTCCTTCAACATTGTCACACACACACACACACACACACATATATATATATATTAGTCCTCAACTCCAATTCCATTCCAAGACAGCAAGCAAGTTGATGCATCTATTTTCTTGCTAGATAACAAGACTTTGAGCTAGCTAATTGTTCTGGTTGGCAATTTCTTTTTCTTTTCTTTTTTTCAGAGATATTTGTAAGTTCTGGAAAAAAACGACAGAGACATTGAAGGATGAGGGTGATATTCACACAAGAACAATGAAGAAGAACTATGCAACAGTTCCTCAATGGTGGTTTCATACTGTCTTGGTTTCAATGATCGCTCTTGCCATATTTACTTGTGAAGGTTTTGGGAAAGCCTTTCAACTCCCATGGTGGGGAATTCTACTAGCTTGTGCAATGTCTTTCATTTTCACATTACCAATTGGGATAATAACAGCCACAACAAACCAGGTACATTAATCTTCCTCCTCCTCCTCACACACAGGCGCACACAGTTCTAATCAATCTTAATATACACAGTATTATATATATATATGCTCATTTCCTGAATTTAATACGTTTACGTGACTGTATAGCAACCGGGGCTAAATGTGATCACGGAATTGGTTATCGGGTATATATATCCGGGGAGGCCACTTGCAAATGTAGCTTTCAAAGTGTATGGCTATATAAGCATGACACAAGCGCTTGCTTTTGTTGCGGATTTCAAATTAGGCCACTACATGAAGATCCCTCCCAGATCTATGTTCATTGTTCAGGTATTCAAGTAAGCATGCATGCATGCATTGTGATAGATGGTACTACTATGTGTGTGTGTGTGTGTGCTCGCCTCTCTAATTACTGTTTGTTGTGCTTTTGAATAATGTTCATCAATCAGTTAGCTGGAACAATAGTTGCTTCTACCATGTACTGGTGCACGTCATGGTGGCTTCTCACCACCGTGGAAAACATTTGCGATGCTTCAAAGCTGCCAGACGGAAGTCCATGGACATGTCCCGGGGACGAGGTGTTCTACAATGCTTCAATCATATGGGGAGTGATTGGTCCAGGACGGATGTTCACCACGCGTGGTGTCTACCCAGAGTTGAACTATTTCTTCCTACTTGGCTTGCTTGCTCCTGTCCCAGTGTGGTACTTTTCCAAGAAATTCCCCCACAAGAAATGGATCAAGCAAATCAACATGCCCGTTCTTCTTGGCTCAACCATTGCTATTCCACCGGCTAGAACTGTTAACTATATGATGTGGGGAGCTGTGGGTATCTTCTTCAACATGTACGTTTACAAAAAGCACAGGGCATGGTGGGCTAGGCACAATTACATCCTATCAGCTGGTTTGGATGCCGGCGTTGCATTCTTGGCCATATTGATATACTTCACCCTGCAATCCAGGGACATTCTTGGTCCCCAGTGGTGGGGTTTGAGTACCGAGGATCATTGTCCTCTCGCTACTTGTCCCACAGCTCCCGGAATAAAGGCTAAGGGATGTCCTGTTCTGTAAATAAAATTACTATCTTGGCGCTAAAATTGCTATCTTGGCGCGCATAGTGGAGATCAAATTTCGATCTGACTTCGGTTGATGATGCTTGCAGATCCAGATTGATGACGAAGTAATATGGAGATGCTGTAAAGTTCATTCGGTCTGGACATTAATGGTGTCAATTACACATAAGCGCCGGGGAATGCGTGTGTTGTATATTCTGTGTATTTAAACTAATGATTCTGTATATTATTACTACTACATATAATACTCATTCATGATAATTGTCTGCATCACTGTCAATGATACTGTGGTCAATGCGTATATATATTGTCCATATTGTCCAGTTGATGCATTTGATGAAATCAACCAAAAAAAAAAAGATGAAATGAAAGAAAACCAAGCTCAGATGATTTTATAACTAGTTTAGTGTGTGAACGTTATTTTTTTTTTTGATAAGTAAGTTTAGTGCGTCAACATTATGGGCGCAAATTGGAAAGGAATAGGTTATGACCAGTTAACTCAAGAGGACAGTGATCCTATCAAACATCTATCTGATCAACATTGACATTGCCAATGCAAACAAACCATCCTCACCCTCAGTCCCACGACTTCCAACTGAAAGGAACCACCTAAACAGATGAATCCCAGCCACCAAACAACGGCCATATTGTCATTTTGCCAGAGCTTTGGAGCTATGCTACGTTTTAAATCTTTCCATACCTTGTCCTTTGTGTTGACTGATGGGTCACGGCACAAACTAGCCTAAGTGCCTAACTCTTCATGCGTCCGGAATATTTGTCCCACATCGAATCCAAATGGGAAAGTGATCGAATATAAATAGGTGAGTATACAGCATAACCAAAGCTCGAGCTTTTGGGTAAATGGACAGCATATCCTATGCCACGCCAAGCGCCCAGTCCGGATGGCATCCGGGTGAGACACCCCGGGTAGGCAGGGTGGCCCGACCGCAATGAGGGTGTGGCGAGTTCGGGTGGGGAAGAATGTTACAAGAGAATATTTGTCCCACATTAGATCCGGATAAAAAAGTGATTGGGTATAAATGGAAGGGTATGCAGCATACCCAAGAGCTTGAGCTTTTGGATAAATGGGCAAGCGCCCACTCGTTACACCTAGCCACTTATCTATAACAAACCGGTATAACTTAAAATTCACTGTTGGGGATGATGTTGCCTACAACTCAAATTTTTTGAAGACTCGAACAAGAAAGCACAAATCTATAACATTCTCCATCCGAAAAGTCTGGAGATAGCCACTACAAATCATAACAAACCTACCTCTACTGCCCAATTGCGGCCACGAACATTTTTGAAAAGCTGGAATTCGTACGTAAAATTAATAGAAGAAAACTATTCACATTTTTCTTCCCGCAACAGCTGAAAAAATGAGGAGAAATACTAACGTGTGTATTCATTCCATCAAATGCTGGAAACTTCAGCTCAAGTGTTAGATATAAGAAAATTGAGTTCATTCCCTCTGAAATTTTAAACCTGACAGACAATTATAAATATTAGGTTGACAGAAGAATAAAAGTTTCCACAAACAAAAACAAAAAATATCAAGCCCCTGATTCATATGTGTCACATCTTTGCTTTGTTTTCTGGAAAATTGGTTGTTCAAAATTCCAGCACAAGCAACTGAATGAGAATAATTGGTAATTACCCCATTCAATAATGCTGAAATGCAGATAATCAATAAGAATACTTAAGTGAAGAGTTCCGGGTTCAGCCAGTCCCTGCAAATAGAAAAGTGAATCACATAAATAGTTTCCTTCAAATTTAGTAAAATGCAATCCTGGCATGCATAATGGTATCAGCGTGTTAAAATTGGTGAAAGTAAAAAATAAAAAATAAAAAAAATAAAATAAAATAAAAAATGATGAGTTACGGTCTTACTTGCTAATGTCATTGAGATGGTCATCAAAATCAATGATATTATGCCATTTCTCAGATGACATATAGTCCAATAGAACAATATTTCCAGATGGCTCCTTTATAGTCAGCCGGCTACTTCCATCTGATCCAACTAACTTCCAACTCCCATTCCTCGTATAAAGCTGAGTAATGAAAAGAAAACAAAATATAAGATTGATTTGAGAGCGTCCTTATGGGGGAACTGCCATTGATTAAGACACATCAGCTTTTCAACATAAACAAGACAAATAAATATGGGGTGCAAGATGAGTTGAAATCAATCAGATCATTTGGTATTTGCAAAACAGACAATTTTGCAATAACTACCGGTCAGGAAAACAATGCAGAAGGCAGTAATGAAACAAAATTCCTTTAATCAACCCAAGATAGTTGAATAAGGCCGAATTTAGATAATACTTGTAAACAACCAAGTTTGGATTTGTCGCCTTTGCATGCTAAAAGACATTGCGGTTGAGAACTTTGTCTTAAAAGGGTTCTGTTCTGTAGTAGAATGACAGTTTATAGAAATGAAAGAAAAATGACAATAAGAGCAGAAAAGATATATGATACTATAATGCCTCACAAATAGAGTGTAGCATACAAGCAACAACATACATGCGACGATATATGCCCTGGCAACGAGATACCAGCCAAATCTGTAGCAGGGACATGAAGGTGGCTCAAACCACATCACAAATTATTCAAAAAATATCAAAAATAATTCAGGGGGAAAAAACTATCAAACATACAGGTACAGGCAATTATCAATTCAAAATTAAAATTTATATATCCGTCAGGCCAATTAGACCCTCAAAAAAATGATGCCTAGCTGCCCACATTATTCATAGTTGTAAGTCGTAACGTATTGTGCTCAAGATCAGTTAATCTTTCTATGGGTCTATACTTTTTCCACTATTCTTACTCGACGCACCTATTCCAAGGAAAGCTTCCAGAAAAGTAATTCCCAAGTAACAAATTATTAAAATGGCCCTTGACAATAATGATAGCCCCATAAAGCAATGAATAGCATAGGCAAGTCCATAAACCATCAGGTCTTTTGATGAAACATTTCATGCAAAAGCAAATACTTAAATGCTCCAAGATAAAAGAATCATAGAGTTGGAAATGTATGACACATGAGTACTTTCCATTGTCATGTGTTGGGTACTTTAAAATATGGGACTGTTAAGGGTGATGAAGAGGGCAGTGGTAATAAAAGCATGTAAATGGATTACGGACCCCTGTGGACCCTTATCATCAAGAAAAGAATCAGAAAAGGCCCATTTTGCCCAAATGCTGGTTTTCCAATTGGATATATTGCAAACAAGCATCTGTTGCTTTTATCTATACAATAATTTCCTACCTACAAGACCACAATATGAAGTCAAGTAATTTGGTCATTAACAACTTTCCTTGACACAAAGCAAGGGCAGCAATTCTCTGCATCTGTAACCTAAGTTTGTGCTGCATCCAAAAAAAATTATCATGTAATGAAACAAGCACTCACCTACACCACCATAGCACAAACACAGACAATGCTGTGTTATGGATCAGCTTTAGGATGACCAGTTGAGCCTTTTATATTACCCGAAAAAAAAAAAAAAAAAAAAGGAGGGAGGTGGGGGGAAATATCAATAAACTGGCACAAGCAAGATATGGACTAATGTAACGGGCCTGGTGTTTGCCTTCTGACCTAAAAGTTTAAACCATTGGGTAGTGTTGTATACCCACCCATACAAGTCCATGTGGGGCAGGAACCTCTAATACTCCCCCACTTGTACTTGCAACACCCTCGGTGCAATTGGACCACCCTGCACCGAGCTAGCTCAATGTGAATTACATCACTCGTTTTTATTGACGTGAGCATTTATTTTCATACTAATGGTCTAATCGTTTTGATTGATTATTGTTCTTTATATTTCTAACAAATGTTACATCAATCTTTTTCATCAATACATTGATTTTTATTTTATCCTTTCGTGTTTTGTTACACATCAATATTTCATTTCAACCATCAAAACATTCTGCTTCTGAACTGTCCAATATTTGGTCTCCATGAAATATAATTGGTTTAATAATTTGTCATATAAAAATTATCTTTCCATCGAAAAATACTCACTGATTGATATAATGATAGTATCAAGATTTGGAATCACTTTGAAGTTCAATCTCATTTAATTATACAACTACATAATTCATAATTCTTTTATCTTTTTTATTAACATCGTTTTTAAAAAAATTAAAAATAATAATAATAATAATAATCTCGAATCTCGTATCAAGATTTGGATCCTCTATTGTACTGCAAATTAAATCAATGTGAATACGATTATTTTGAATGTCAATTTATCGTATTGTATTTAATTAAGTTGCAACATTAATTAATGGCCGATGCAAGACAATTTAATGGGACCTTGAAATAAATAGTGTTACATTCATGATTTATACTACCTCCATCCCACAATAAAGGTCCATTTATAGAAATTGGAGTTTTTAAGGGGACATGCAATTAATGCATTGTCCCCTTTTAAAATTACTAAATTGTCCTTTCCAATTTAAATATATATAGTTACAAAGTTTGAAATTTTTTAAAAAGATAAAGGATAATGATGGAAATATAAAGGAAAGATGCTTTGACTTTTCAAAGAGGACAACTAATTTGGGACATGTAAAAATGAAATAATGGACTACTAATATAGGACGGAGGGAGTAGTTGCGATAGCGGTGTAATAAATTCGGATGAATATCAATATAAATTGACCGAAATGATTCATTGAAGAGTGTAACGATAAATAATTACAAACTGACTGATACGTTACAGAGCAAACCACAATTACATCTTAGTTTAATAATCGTTTATGGTACACTATAACCCAAAATGGAGTTGTTGACATTTAAAAGAAATTGTTAGGAGTTCTTTATTATGTGTTAATGAAAATCTACTTACCAAAAAAATATATATTAATGAAAATCTAGTGGGACCGCACATTTTTGGCCTACTTGCACGTGATATTATGCATGTGATAGAATATCACGTGATAAACGTCCACGTCATGACCCGAAACTCTAAATAACTATTAAAAAAAAATTTTAATTACCGGGTAAAATTGTATGAACTATGTACATCTTGTAAATTTTTAATTACAAATTTACCCTTATTGGCATAATTATTTAAGTTTTTATATAGACAAAGTGGGTGTAATAAAATATTTAAATATATTTTTTAATAGAATGACTCAATTTAATAATAACAATAACTATAACTAAAAATAATAATTAAGTGATATTTCTTTTGTATTTTAAAATATCAAAAGTCCATAATTTAAGTCCCTAACGTGACTAAAAGTGAATATGTCATATGAATGCAAAATAATAATAATAATAAATAAATAAATAAATTGGTAGGATGAAGAAAGAAGGGAATTTTTTTTTTCTTTCTTTCTTTTTTTTTTTTTTTTTGGGTGTTTTCTAATATTACTATAAAAATACCTATTTTCTATTTTCTATTTTCTATATTTTCCTGGGAGAAAAAAAAAATAGACAAAATTTTGAAAAAAAAATTGTTTAAATATGTTGTTTCATTAGAGGGCTCTCTTGAGTGCATTATTAGATTTATGTGTGTCTTCAAATTCCATAAAATGTGGTGGAATTTGATGAGATATGTAAATTAGTTTCCTTTAAGTTTTTAAATTCCTCAATCGGCCCTCCTCTTCGGTGACACTAGATCAAAGACTGGGTCTGACTCTAATACCACTTGTAACGGAATGGACACTTGCCTTTTGACCCGAAAGCTTAAGTTGTTGGTAGTGTTATATACTCACCTTTATAAGCCCATGACCTTCCCCATCCATATCCAATGTGGGACAAGAACCTCTAACAACTAACCACAAGAAGATGACTCCACCCAATTAGATTCAATAATAGAGATTAGTGTATGTCATAGTTTGACACTACGAAGCATGAACACCCAACACGAGGGCACAGACATGTCATGACAATTTCCAAAATTTAGGCTGAGACACACTAAGGATGCAGCAACAAAGAAACGAATTCTATAAAAAGGAATGAACAAAACCTATAACAAAATTTACTTAATGATAAGTATTTATCATATTGCGGGTCTGTAATATCAGATTTTTGACTCGTGAATTACAATTATTAATAACTACTCATGATGAATAGACAAAGATACAGTAAAAACAGAACATGCGAGTGTGAGAGAGTACTTGTAAAGATGTAGACTTTGACACTTATATAAGGATACCACGCCCACTGTTTTTAAAAAACTTGCTTATATCAAATAAAATTAAGGTCAAACTCTCTAATAAGTTTTGTATAAGCTTTCTTTATAATTACAATTTTCCACAATAAAGATATCCATATACTAAATATCTAAGGTTTGCCAGTCATATATTTATTAGTACCCAAGAAATGTCGGTATTATTTTATTCTTGAATTGTGCACTCATTCCAAATGTGTTGGGCACAAATTCAAAAGTATTCAAAAAGTGAAACAACTCATTTTTGGACGTGTCTGTGCTTATCAGGTTTAACATTAGTATGAAGTATGAACTTAACATGATCAACTAAGTAGAACCAGTAGATAATTTTGCATAAAAAGGGATTCACTAAAAAGGTACAGCCAAGGCCAACTACCATAACACAATTGGAAAGAAATCTTAGTATGTGCATTTGCTGAGACACAATTACAGATGGTGTCCAGAACATACGACAGGAAATCCACATCAAAATTAGATAGAAAAAAGGAATGTCTTGAGCCAGTTTAAAAGCAATGTGAAAGGTATAAAGATAAAAGGGTGACCACAAACTAACAAAATAGAAGTACAAAAGAATTTTAGAAGTTAAGGGAACATTTTATGCAGTTCTTTCATATCCCAACAGATTGTACCTGATGAGGTCATATTAGCACGAGCTTAAAATACAAAGCAACATCTAGAAAATGGAAAAGATTTATCCAACAAAAGCATCAGGGCTAAGGTTCGAATCCTCTTTGGTAAAGAATTCCTTGAGGGGGGCTGTGTGAGTAAACAACTGGGAAAAATAAATAAAAATATTTATCCAACACTTGTAAGGGTAGGAAAAAATAAAAGTAGAACCCTCAATTAGGTTTGATAGCTGGAAGCCCTCTGAAATATTTTACTCCAGCACACTAAGCAATGGCATATAATTTACAATCCAAACATCAATACAGGATTTTTTTTGAAGCCCAATTTTATTATCTCCATACCCTCCCAATTAATTAATTATGATACTAAGGTGAAAATAGAACCACTCAACAAATTACAAACTAAAAAGTCTTCTTTATTTGAAAATTTAGTGAAAGAGAGGAAAAGCAAAAGACAGAAAAAATAATTTACAATTTTTTTTAATTCTTAAATGACTTTAAAAATTAATAATTCCTGAAAAGAATTTCAAAAATTAGAGGGCAAAAGCGAATGAGATTTAAAATTGAAGCTTTCTCGCTAACTTCTCTTCTTCTTCTGTTTTTTTCATCCTAATTTTCATGGCAACCAAACAACAAAAAGGGAACTTTTAAATTCCTTTCTCCGCAAATCCGCAAATCCGCAATCCAAACAGAAACTAAAGCAACTTTTACCACAACAACTGAATAACAACAAATCATACTGTTACATAACAACAAATCCGCTATGAAAAAGTAAAACTCACCTGCATCACAGGACTCCTTTCCTTACTCTTTGGTAAAGCTTCAAGCTTCTTGTTATCCAACTGTAATACAAATATATATAGCATTAAAAATTAATGCAAAAATTTCCTCGCAAAAATTTAAGAAAACAAAGTAAAAAAAAGTACCAAAAGCACAGCAGCTTGGGGGAAATAACGATATATGTGATCACCAATGTTCTTGGCGACATTATTGAGCTCGAAATCATCGAATCTTTCATTCGCGTGATAATAACCAACAATATTCAAACCTTGAGCACCATAGTAATCCTCTATCTGTTCATTTCAATTGAGAATTCAAACAACAAATCAGGAAACATAAAACCTAAAGATCGAGACTTGAATTATTAGAGGTGGTGGAGAGACCTGAATTAGGGCGATCTCGAGGGGAGGAAGCAGACCGATCTGAGAGTGGAAGAGTGGGACAGAGTCGGTGATCTCGAGGACGGGACTGGTGCCGCCGCCGGAGACGCGGCCGAGGAGGACGCCGTTGACGGCGGAGGTGGTGTGCTTTAGGGCATGTAGAACGAGTTTGATGTACGCGTTTTGGCTGATCTCGTATCGCATCTCACCGCCCATGACTAATCGAGTCTCTGATTGCCGGCGTCAGATAACAGTTTAGAGAGTGGGGTGTGTGTGTCTGTGTGTGTGTGAGAGAGAGAGAGATTACTATTTCTTCAGATGTCTCTGACTTTTATGTGTCCGGCTCCTCTACGTTGCTATTTTTCTCTCCGTTTATATCCTCTAGTTGATCCAACAATGAGGATTCTGCCACGTCAATTAAAAAAAACGAAACCCAAATTATAAGGTAAACGTTGTCGTTTGGTTAACAGAATGTTTAGAAAATCCCTTCACGCTCTCCTGCCATGCACAGGCCGTTAGTGAAAAAGAAAAATCTTTTCAGAAAAAAATATATTACAGCCTTCATCCAATTTTTTACATTCTCGTCCTATGTTTGTTTCTCTCTCACTACAAGACATGTTGACATGTTTATCTACTAATTTTAATTTTTCTTTCTGCTATTCTTTGATGGATAATACAATTTCTATCAGATTTTCACTGTGATTGCGTAAAAACGGAGTTTACTACTTTCCCTGGAAAAAATAAAAAATAAAAGATTGGGTAAATACATAACACTCTTGTGGTTTACTAAAATTATTGGTAAGCGCATCAAAAAATTCAGTTCATATATTTTTTACATAAAAAATAAATAAATGAAATTGAATTAGTTGACTATAATAAAAAAATTGAGTAAATATAATTATTGACAACAAATTTATATAAAATAAAAAAATTTAAATTTTAATCAACAGTTAATTTTTTTATGTAAAATGTCATATTTGTCCCTCATTCTATATTAAAAATAATTTGAACATGAAGCACAATTTATATTGGGTGTCCCGGGTCATCCTTGAATATCATTTTTACATGAAGTAATCTTCATCCAACGTCCTGTGGGTTATAATGCTCACTTCAAAAAAAATTACGTTTTTATTTTTACATTAAATAAATAAATAAATAAATGAAAACGACCAATAAGACTGCAAATGAACCGAGTTGCTCGAACAGCTCGGTCTCAGCTCGTTAAAAGCTCGGCTCGGGTTCATTCGTCTAGTAAACGAGCCGAGCTTGAACATATTTTTGGGGCACGTTTAGTAAACGAGCCAAGCTTGAGCAATGCCAAGCTCGGATCATTAGGCCCGTGAACAGGCTCGTTTAGTAAAAGATTTATTTATTTATTTTTTAAAATTTTTTTATATAATTTTTTAAGCCCATATAATATAAATTTAGTCCAAACTGTGTGTTCCTAAGCCCAACTTAATTCTTTATTAAGCCCAAATTCTTTTAACTTAAGCCCAACTCCACTAACTTATATATTCTCTATGTATTAACCATTTATTACATTTGACTTTTTGAGATTACATCCTATCTCACATCCAGCCGCAACAGATCTCGCCCAGACCTTCAGTTTCAACAAATTAATCCTTCTTCCTCTCTTTCTGGTTCGGCTCTCCAATCCCTTTCAATTCAACACATCTTCCTCTCGCTCACACTCATTAGTGACTGTATACTCGAATCTCTTTTTTTTGGTTTCTTTTCTCTTATGACGTCTCAATTTCATTTTAGTGTTAATGAGATCAGAGGAAGATGGCGTTCAGTGAAAGAAATGCAATGATGGATTCATGGATTCCATATTTGATTTCCTTATTTTTATTTTTAATATATTTTTTTTAAGGCAAACTCGAGCCGAGCCCGAGCTTGCCCAAATTCTGGCAAGCCGAGCTCGATTTTATCAGGCTCGTCCGAGCCCGATCACACTCCTGACACGGCGAGCCGAGCCCGAACATGGTAAAGCTCGGCTCGGCTCATTTGCATCCCTAACGACCAATGTTCATGCCCCAAAATAAATGGCTGACAAATTACTAAATCTCCGATTGTTGGTTTGAGAAAATTCATTCACCAATTGAGAATTGTAAATGTGATATAAATTTGGTGTGATTTCTGGATAGTTAGCTTTTGAAAGAACTGAAACTCTATTTGTTTATCCAAATGGCAAATTTGAAATACCCGATGCCCAATTGGTAATTCTAGAACAAATGTATTTTATTGATAACACCAAATATCATATAATTAATTAATATGCTTGGCTTTTGAACTTTTCGCCTCATTATTTTTCTTCTAATTGTTAATATCTTTAAAGTTATCAGATACTTTACTAATCATCAAGAAACTATAGCATTTTTTATTTTTATTTTTGACAAGCATCAAGAAACAATAGCATATCGTGGGAGAACATGTAGCTTAATTTTTGTGAAGCAAGCAAGCTTCCTGACCATCAATAAGAAAACCCCTGCACTTATGCAGTAAATTTATGTTAACAACCAATTCTTAAAACCCCTGCACTTAGGCAGTAAGATTATGTTAACAACCAATTCTTACGATATGATATGTCACAACAAAAATTACATTTTTTGTTTTTAAACAAGACCAGGGAGCTGAAGCCCCATCTACCATTCTACAAGGAAAACCATAATATCTTAAATTATAAACCTTTTCTACTACACAAATAAGGATTCACAAATGCAACACAAATAAAAGCTCCACCCAGGAGTCGTTCCTCATATTTTGACATAGACATCTCGCTAATACACTTTTAGACAACAGGCTATACATGCTGGAACAATTCTAACATTGTTGGCTAAACCACGGCAATATCCCCCTGCCAAGTCAAACTATGCCATAAAAGAAGAAATTCCTATCTTAGATCAAGCTAAGGGGTGTAGTGAATAAAGAAATCAAAAGGCTAAGTAAAAATAAAAGCTACACAATTAACACACAAGAAATGTCAAACTAGATTAAACTAGAAGAGAATGTAACAAGCTCCAGAACAAGATGCTACAGTCTACATGGCAAGCTATAGAAGAATCAGTCTCAACACCACAACCAGACACCAAATACTAATTAGAAGCAGTCTATGGAGTTCTTCTAAGACGTACAGTAAAAAAGAACAGTCTAATGTAAATCTTCTGATCTTTAAAAGCTTCTTCTTGCATTAAGAGACACCTCTAGTACTTGTGAGGAAGTACCTACGTATGCAGGAATCAGAAGGCAGGAAACTAGAGAAACCTGTGAGAAACTTCTATGGCAAAGCTAAGCGCAACTGCATGAAATGCATCTTCTTCTACCTTGCATAAGGATTGTACCGACTACTGCCACTATATCCCCCCCTTCCATAGGGCCCACCTGCTCCACCATAACTTGCGCCAGGACCAGAGTCATAACCACCGCCATAGCTTGAACCTCCATAACTCCCATAGCCTTCACCTCTGCCATATCCTCCTAATCCACTTCCGCCATAACCCCCGCTAAATCCACCACTATAGGGTCCAAAGCGACTAGAATAACCAAGGGAAGATTCACCACGGTAGCCTCCTAAGCTACTGCTTCCAAAACCTCCATAACCACTGCCAAATTCTCCATACCCACCATACCCACCAAGCCTACTGCCAAAACCTCCAGGAGTCCTATAGGGACCAGGGCCAAAACCGGTATCAAAACCTCCATAGGAGCCACCAAATCCACCAAAGCCATCACTGAAAGAACGAGCCCTAGAGTTGCTACCATGTGAATGACCAGATTGTGGGTTTGAGGATTTCTTTGGTTCTGCTTTCTTGATCTCCACCTACAACAAAGCAACTTAGTTAACTGTTTACCTAAGTTCTGCTGCATGCAGACTATCATGAGAGTCCATTCCTGCTAATTAGATCTATACCTGTAACATTCTCAACCTAACATTAGCAATAACCCCACTAAAGTAATTGCTCTAAGATAACTTTTAAAACAAATACACACACACACACATACAGAAAAAATCTTTCTACATAAATAGATCATCAGTGTTTTGTAATCCATGATAATGTATCTGTTTACATGCTGGTTTCTTGAGCACCATGTAAATAAGCTCACCTGGGTACCCGCCATATCAATCATATTTCCATTGGCTAATATTTCATCAACAGCTTCCTCACTGTCGTATACTATAAATCCAAAACCTCGAGAACGGTTGGTCTCGTGATCACGTATAATCTGGTGTTCAACAACCCTTCCATGCTTGGAAAAGAAATTCTCGAACTCGTCTGATCAATTTAAAAGCCAGAGAGAGGGAGAGAAGTGAGCAAAACAACAGTTCAAAAAAGCTAACCTATACATATATGCACATTTTAACAAGATAATTAGCAAACCTTCAGTTACTGAAGATGGAACTCCCCCCACAAATATCTTCTTTGTTTTGAAATCTTTTGATTGACCAGATCCTTTCGGAATGGTTCTTTTGATCTCAACCTATCCCATTTATTACAAAGCAAGTCACAAGATAAATCAAAACAAACATATTTGTTTATATATATAAAAATTCAAAGGAGCCATGAATCTTCACCAAGTAAAATCACTCCTCAAATCAATAACAGTAACTTGCATGGATTGCAAACTACCAAGTTTACAAAGAATCTTACCTGTTTCCCATTAATGACATGAGTATCTTCAATAACTTTGTCAACAACTGAAGGCTCAGCATATGTGATAAATCCGAAACCCCTTGGCTGTCCCGTGTACCGATCTTTCATAATAACTGAGTCCGTAATTTCCCCATACTTTCCAAAGTGCTTACTAAATGTAGCTATATTGTAATAATAAAATAAAATAGCAAATTAGCAAATAGGAAGCACCCACAACCAAACCACCAGAAATCAATAAGTCAATTTCTTTATGTAATGTCACAATATTTATCATCAAATTGGTTAACTGTAAGCAAGTTAGAAACTCACAAACACCCAAAATGAACTGAAAGACTATGAACCAACGAATCCAAAGTGCTTACTAAATGTAGATATATTGTAATAATAAAATAAAATAGCAAATTAGTAAATAGGAAGCACCCACACCCAACCACCAGATATCAATAAGTCGATTTCTTTATGTAATGTCACAATATTTATCATCAAATTGGTTAACTGTAAGCAAGTTAGAAACTCACAAACACCCAAAATGAACTGAAAGACTATGAGCCAACGAATCCCTCAAACAAGAAGATATCAATAACCAAGATATCATCATCTTATTAGACAGATACAGAGAATATATATATATAATTACCAGAAAACTACACGCGGGGGGGGGGGGTGGGGGGAAGGGGAATGAAAGCAGCAATGTAACCATACCCACCAAGGCACCAACAAATTTACATACTAGAGAACCCTAAAACCGTCATAAGCCCACCAAGTTACAATAATCAATGCATTTCTTTGTATTATGTTTTTAAAACATTTATTCTTTAGATAAAATAAATTCCAATATAGATTTTAGAATAGTGAGTAATGAGTAGTATGGGTCTCGATCGAGTCCGATACAATTCAACCGAGCCGTAGAGATTCGGCCAATATCAAGAACTATGGATTAAACTAATATAATATGCATTCCCAACCGTAGTCAATTGCTTCCTTTGGAAGACACTTGATACTTATACATGTAATTATATTTATGTGATGTCATGCTTACTTAGTATTTATGCGTACTATTTTTTTTAAGTTAAGTTATGTTATGTTATGTAGTATGTACATATAATGGTAAACATAAATGTGTGTATGGATCGTGAACGCGGTGTTTATGGATATTCCAATGACATGTGAAATTTTATATACGTTTTTTTTTTTTACTTGTGCTTTAGTTAGCGGCACTTGTCGTTCCCATCTTTACAAACCTATTTTCCATATGTTTTCAACCTTTTTTCCATAAAAATAAAAAACATCTAGCTTTCATTATTGCACTTTTTACCACTACTACTCAATTTCTCACTTTTCTTCCATATTTTTCAAAAAAATTATATTTTTATACCGCCCACAATTATTTTATGTTCCCTCCGTCCCAAAATTGTTGTCCCTCTTTGCAACTTCAACCTTTTAAGGGATAAGCATTTAATGCATTGTCCCCTACTAAAATTTCAAAACTACCCATTTAAGTGTTAGTTGGGGTAAGTTTTCAAAAAGTTGAGATATTTTGGGCTTGCTTGCTTCAATTTTCTAAAAACAGTTCAAAAAAATTCAGAAATAGAAAACTGTTTTCAGAAATCCATAGAAGAAAATTCTCTTAAAACATACTTAAAAACGGTTTTCAGAAAACTGAACGAAGCGGGACTTCTGTACAATTTTCTAATTTTCAGTTCTCCTGAAAAAAATAAAAAATAAAAAATAAAAAAAAAAAACTATTTCTTGAGTGACAAACCAAGCAAGCCCTTTACATTGAGGAATAAGAATTTTGGGACATCCCAAAAAAGGAAAGATGGACAAGAATTTTGGGATCGGGGGAGTAATTTAATTTCAAATCCAAAAAAATAATAAGTTGTATCAAACCCACAAGTCCAATTAACGAATTCAGATTCTGGGTTTGATACATCCTAGGTTAGAATTTTAATTGTAAAACAATTATGAGTGGAGTGTAGAAGCTAAGTTGGAAAATATAAAAGAAAAATAAAGTGAGAATAAGGTAAGTTATAAAATTAAATATAGAAAAAATGTTGGTGGTGCACTGGTGGTAAAAAAAAATCCAAAGACAAAATGTAGGTGGCTCTAAAATATATATTCCCTCCGTCCCGTAAAAGTTGTCCGCATTGGTAATTGTGACTCACATTGTTGTGAGTCACAATTACCAATGCGGACAACTTTTACGGGACGGAGGGAGTATTAAATATCAAAAGTTAGAGGATTCTCCACTAACATTACGTCATTACATACTCATGATATATATAAGCATGACAGCATATATATAATTATATATATAATACTAACATAAAGAAACTTCCCGTGAAAGCTTTGCCACTCATAACTCAAATATTTATTGTGATCCAAATCTATTCTCATAACTCGAATATTTATTGAATATTTAATCCAATAATCTGTTAATGATTTGAATCTAATAATCTATCAATTAAACAAACCAAATAAGGATTATGATCAATCCAATCCACCATAATATTATATACTATATATATATATATATTCTCTAATTCTACAATCTATACCATTTACGTTCTATCAAAATGTTTTTAGCATTATTTTTTCCTTCATCTTCCCTGTGTCTATTCTTTCAAAACCTTTTTTTTCTTTAACAAAGTCAAACACTTAATTTTCTTCGCTTTATTTGTTCATCTTCATTTTTCTTTCCAGGCTTTTTCTCTTACTTTTTAATCATTTTTTACCAATCTCTTTTGTCATTAAATTTCTTTAAACAAAATATTACCCCCTTAACATATCGGGTTATTATATCAGATATCCAATCAGTAAAAAATCAGATATGCGTTCAATGGTTCATTCAGAAATAATCCGTCCAATTATCAGATTGGATCAGACCATAAATAACTTATTATGATTGAATTAGTTCAACCATTATCTGGTTTGAATTCGATCCATTTACAGGTCTATTTGAGAGACATTTCGTTATTCAAAATTTTATATTAGAAACTTTATAATCTAAATCTTGAATACTTGTCTTAATTAATTGGTTATGCATTATTAACTTTCTCTTTTTCATTATTCTTTGTTAGATTCAGTTTTCAAATTACATAAAATGAGATTATAATAGATATAATTGTGAACATAACAGAATATTGAGTTGAAATTTGATATACATGTTCTTGATTATAATTTAATTGTGATTTGGCTACAAATTTTGTAAAAATTATTAGCATTCAGAAGTAATGCAATTTATACTTGTTAATTGACAGGAAACAAAAATTAAATTTGAAATTAGTTGAATTAAATATATGATGAATCCTTTGTTGACAGTTGACAGCGAAATTAGAGTTGAGAAGTTGGTGTAATGAATTGTATAGAAAAAAATTGTCCAGGTTATAGTTGGATAGATTCTATCGTTAAAATGAATCTTTGCGGATTAATAGGGATTCGGGTGAAGCCCCCAAGAGATTACACATTAATAGGGGATGTCCATTGGGTGAGAGAGTACCTAGTGGACAAGGATCCTCTAAATTAGATCTCTCTACATTATTAAAAAATTGAGATGGCATTTTTTTAAAGATCCACAACTTACAATTCACCACATCTATTGACGGTGTGTTCAAACACTGTTCCCTAAACTATGTCATTTCAAGCATTTTTAATTATATATAGAGTGGTGGCACAATACAAACCTTCTAAGAGTTCACCTTACAAAATGTAAGGTAACAGTTAAGTTAGAGGATCCTGTTCCATGCCTACAAGAATTGTGCATTAATAGAAAATACCATATTTTTGGGTCAGAGCCCTGAAAGAATTATCCATTAATAGAGGGTATGAACCGTATGGACCATGGTCCCGGGCAAGGGTTCCTAAAAGATTTATGCACGGCCCTAGTTGAGAGTCCCTAAAAGATATCAAAGAAAATTCACAATTCAAAATTAATACTTCAAATTTAAGCACTTAAATAGCTTTTAAAAACAACCCTAAAAGATTTAGGCACGGCCCTTCGTGAGAGTCCTAAAAGGTATCAAAGATAATTCACAATTCATAATAATTAAAATTTTAGAACTTAGATAGCTTTTAATACTTTCGGTGCTTGGTTTTCAGTTATATATATGTATGCATGTACGTATAAAAAAATAAAAATTAAAAAAAAAAAAAAAGAAGAAGGGAAATTAGGGTTATGAGTTCTGACCATAGGTAGTATCTTTTGCTAATCCCCCGATGAAGATCTTCCTGTGATTTGATATTGAAAAAATATAACAAAATAAGCTTTTATGAAGCATATCAGAATAAAAATTAAAAGAGAGAGAGGGTAGCGAATCTAACCCAGGACTCGCTCCATCGCCTGTGTGTGGATTATCGTTCTTCGATCTCGACCCCATTCTTAATCTCTTCTCTTCTTAATTTGGATCTCTAAGAAATTTCAACTTACAGTGTTTCCACTAGAAAAGCTAGGGTTCGAGGACGAGAGATGCAGAGAGTTAGAAAAGAAAGTTAGAAACGATGTGTTGTGGTGAGGGTACGATGAAATAATGTCGAAATATTATACTTATCACTAGCCCAAGCCCTAGACATATAATTTTGGACCCCGGGCTTACTACCTAGACTAGGAAAAAATAAAAAAGAATTAAATAATTAAAAAAAAAAAAAAAAAAAAAAAAAAAAAAAAAAGAACAAACAAACAAACAAACAGTTGTTGATGTGGGTCAGATTTAGTACGAATCTTGCTAAACGGGTTCAAAGAGTTTGAAATCGGAATCAAATCGTTGTTCAACAGTTCTTCAATTTAGAATCGGAACCAAAGCACTGGTTCGATTCGAGAATTGATTCAATATAATTCAAAAAAATATTATGGGTTAATTAGATAACAATATAAAATTTAAGAAAAAATAAAAAAAATCTAATTATAGGCTTCAACTCAATGTTTTTATTCATGATTATATGGATGAAATAGAAAGGAAAAAAAAATGTTTATACATTATAATAATGTATATTGTATTATAAATTTTGACTTATTCATGTCGTACTCGTGTTCTCTTTTTCTCAAAATTTTTACATTATCGTTGTGTTCGTATTGTGCTGTATTTGTGTTCAAAATTGTGCTGTATTTGTGTTCAAAATTCATGCTTCCTAACTCCCAAATATTATTATACATGACAAGTTATTCAAGAAAAAAAAAAAATAATGAGTCTAAGAGAATACATGATATACAATAAGATATAATGAAAAAAGAAAATTCATTTGGCCTCATGATCATACCGTGACGAAGAGGTTGGTGGGTATGCTTATGTTTGATGTTTGAGAAAATTTTAGATTTTGGTGATCAAAACTAAACGAAATTACTTTAAAGTGACCGCAATGTTAAGAAAATATGGATAATCACCAAACTTTAAACTTAATTACTACTAAGAGACCATTTGAGGGTCCATTTGGTCAAAAACAATTACATGTTTATTAAACTTTTTAAATTAATTTTTAGATGACAAAATCGTTCTTCAATATAAACATAAACGGTAACCTATTGAATTCATCATCCTCTTCCTCATCCATCCATTTTATTTTTTATTTTTAGTTTTTAATAGGGGTGGCAAATTACAATACGACTCACCAACATGATATGAGATAAGTGGGTTTGGATTAACCTTAAACGGGTTTGAGTGATAAACGGGTTGACAAGATTAACCCATTTACTTAACCGTATCATGTTAGGATTAAAGAGTTAAATCCATGTAACCCGTTTAACTCAACATGTTATAATCATGAATATGACCTATGTAATATATTACCTGCTTAAATCTAATTACTATAGATAGTTAAGTCATTTTAACACAAATCATGTCTACGTCTCATAATTTTTCTTCTTATTTTGAATATTTTGGATTAATTGTGACAAAAAATTTATATTATTTATTATTTGATTAAATATTAAATGTCTCGTTTTGATAAATAGGTCATTAAATGTTAACCCGTTTAATAAGTAGGTTAGGTTAATATTGAAGTTCTTGACACGATTATTAAATGGGTCGGATTTAAATTTATCTATTTAATATAATACCCACATTGATAAGATTACGATTCACTAACACCCCTAGTTTCTAATATACCAATTAAAAAAATTAAAAAAATAAAAAAAAAAATTTATCAATCTTATCTTTTCCAAGCCTCGCAAAACTGACTATCTATAACCGGAGGATAAAAAGTAACATAACAAATTTGGAAATTTCAATGACAATTTTAAATTCTAAATTCTTGCTGGCATGGACTTTACAAATCCATTCCGAGTATATGTTTTAAATTAATGTTTTAAGAGTTTACCTTCTTTAAAAAATGTTGAAAGCCAAATCCACGTCATAAGCATGGTAGAGCAAAATCTGAAAATAAAAAAAGAAATACTCAAGCTTGCAAACACCAAAACAAATAAAGCTAAAAAAAAAAAATTAAATCAGAAACTTTTATTACCTATAATTTTCTTGGCCACCAGATCCAGACTCCAACGTAAGCGAAAAAAAAAAAAAAAAATCTATAGAAAGAGTATATTGTAAACGTAGATGGAACTTAAAAATAATAATAAAGAGAGACCACAAAGTTCAAAAAAATAAAAGCAGACACACCCTGACTTGACAGATTGTGTTGTTATTATTATTATTTATTATATAAAAAAAAAAATTTAACTTCAGTTTAATTGAGTGTACATAGTAAATTTGTTCACTTGTAAAATAATTTATTATAAAATGAATATTTAGGTCATAACGCATCAAATGATAACTTGTTGGCATTTACGTTTTGAATTTGGTGATTGTCCATATTTTCTTTACTTTAAGATCATTTTTCGTTAATTTTGTTTAGATTTGGCCCAAATCTAATTTGTCCTTCAGTTTCGTTTGGTCATATAGAATCAAATAAAAAATAAATGAAATGGAAATTTTTTACTAATTTGGTTAAATAGAAAAGGAAAAGTTCTAAAAATATTAAGATTCTTGCAATCCTTTCTCCAAAATGTTTCTTTCATAAAACATGGGAAAATAAATTTTCTCTTTTTATCTACTTTTCCTATTTTGCATAACAACTTCATTGATATTATTTTATCCAACAACTTCATCTATATTTGGAAACAATAACAATTTTTTACAAGATTTAAAAAAATTAGAGTCCACCAACAACTTTATGATAAATTTTAATTAACTTAATTTGTATTCCTAGTTATTTTTCATCATATATGAATAATAGTAATTTGGAAGGTCTAAATTAATTGAAAATTTTATTATTTTTTAATATATTTTATTGCTAATTCTTTATTATTTTATTATTTGTATACAATAAGGATAATTTAGGTATCAAACTATAATATGATATTTTTTTATAATTTTCTTGAATAAATTTTCATTCTAACTAAATAAAATTAATTTTATTTTCATTCAATTTATTTTCTTTTCTCGCTATTTTCGTCAAACCAAATTGGATTTTGAAATTTAAAGTGAGAAAAAGTTATTGAGAAAAGGATGAGCAGAATACCATTTGATAGCCCAAAAAAAAAAAACATATGCTGATATTGGAAAGGTATAGAGTTTTCCTACCTGCTAGGAATTCTAGAAAGAGGGATCGTAAATTATACTTAACTACTAAGGAAATTATTGTTTTTTTTTTTGGGATACAGTACAGTAACACTCTTTGAGATTTGTTAAAAAGATATTCAAAGGAAAGTTTGTCTATTTTGGAATAATGACACCCCTTGAAATTTGATCCATCTACCAAAGACACCCATGATAATAAATTAATATTTTTATCCTTTGACTTTTATATTGACTAATTTAAATATTAAAATGACATTTCTAACTTTATACCTATAACAATTTCTTTTCTTTTCTTTTTTATTTTCTCTTCCTCGGCGTCCAATACCACCGCACATTGTGGCACATATACGCGCATACTGTCACACAATATGGATTTTGGTTGAATTGTAATTACACATAATAAAATATCAAGTAATTGAAAATATTTGGGAAGAGAAAATAAGATATAGGCCCATCAAACTATCAAGTAGCTTCACATGCCAGGTGCAATTACCATTTGAGTGTAAGAAAAAGGTCACCATCACTGTGTTTGGTTGTTAAGCTTTCTAATAAATAGTGGGGAGGATAGGTATGATGATTTATAACCATTTCTCAAACTTAATTAACACTAAAGTCAAATGAAACCCCGTCAAGTAACATGACATGCGAGGTCAAATTAACATATAGGTTTAAAAAAAATTCTTGCGACAAATTTTCAAAACTCTCAGTAATTACTGTTGATGACAGACAAAAAAATTATATGAGAGGGCCGATTTAAATAACAAAAATATATAGTAAGATATTTTTTAAAATTGAATGGGACATTTTTAAGATTTTAATTTTTATTAAAGTAATTTCATAAATTAAAATAATAAGTGATTTTTGTACAAATTTATGTTGAACTTATTTTAAAGGGTTAAGTGTAAAAAAATCCCCTCCTACTATCGACATAGTGCATATCGGTCCCTGTGTGGTAAAAAACCCTCCTATACTATTAATTTGGTGCAAATAGATCCCCATGTGGTTTAAAATTACGATAATACCCTCACTTCAATTGAATAAATTGATAACTATAAATATAGGCTATGTAAAATGACCCTTTTACCCACTTATCCAAAAAGAAAAAAAATTAAATTGAGCGCCGCTAACCCTAATTGCAATGACGATAAAATGACCTGGAGGACTTGTCGGAAGGGACAGCACAAGGGAGTCTTGCCGGAAGGGAGGGTACATAACGTACTGGACCAAGAGAGTCTCAAGTGGGTCTTCGTTGGAGGTAAAGGCGGCGTGGGCAAAACCACTTGTAGCTCCATCATCTCTATCCTTCTCTCTATGGTTCGATCCTCTGTTATCATCATCTCCACCGATCCAGCTCACAATCTCAGTGATGCATTCCAATAGCGGTACACCAAAACCCCAACTTTGGTCAATGGGTTCACCAATTTGTACGCCATGGCATGCTTTCATTCTCACCTTTTCTACTCTATTCATGTACTATCTCTTTGTTCGACTTCTTAGGGAATTGCTCTAATTCATCATTTTTTGAGGAATTTTGTGGGTTTTTAATGAATTAGGGCATTGCCCAGTTCATAATTATGATGTTTTGTTTCGTTCTTGTGTAAAATTTGTTGTTCAAGTGAAAATCTTTATGTTCATGTGTATTTGTGATTGTAATTTTGTACTATCTCTCTCTATATATGCATATGCATACTTACACATAGATATACATATATACATATACATATATGTGCACCTGCATGTGATGATTGGAGCTCAGTGAGTGAAGTATTGTTGTGAATTTATACAATATTGGTTCAGCTTATTGGGTAATATACAGTATATCTGATTTTCTCTCTCTACAGAGTCCAAAATTACCCTAAATCTTGCTCTCTCTCAACTGATCGCGTCGTCTCTCTCGGTAAACTTCAGTTCATGTCCAAAAAGAGTATCCCATCAACATCGGCAGGAATGCAAGGCTCATGCTGGAGATAGAGGCTGGACTCCAAAAATTACAGAGATGAGAGAGAGAGAGAGACAACAACGCATAAATTTAATGAGATCAAAACCACATTTTGATTGCATAATAAGGTCCACGAGATCAAGACGAACACAACGCAGCAAATAAAAACCACATACAAACACGTGCCACAAATTATTGGGTCACATCTCCGACGAGCCGAGCAATTCACTGTACTAATGGGTGAGGAGCAAAATAAGAATCAAAAAGGTAAAATAGGATTTTCATATTTAGCTTTTGTCAAAAAGTGGTCAGAGTGGTTTATTTGCACATTTTTTTGAATTTTATGGACTAACATGCACATTTTCAAAAAGTAAGGACTAGTTTTGCACAAACTCTATATATCAGGGGTTTTTTTGCACTTAACCCGATTTTAAAATTAAAATGAATTTTGAATTGGGACAGGTCGAATTTACTCCATTTTTATGGATCATGATCCTATGTTGTAGTGTATATGTGTGACAAAATGTGTGTATATGTGTGACAGTGTGTGTGACAAAATGTGTGTATATGTGTGACAGTGTGTGTGCGTATATGTGTGTTTATGTGTGACAGTGTGTGTTGGTGTTGGGGGCTGAGGAAGAGAAACTAGAGAGGAGAGAAGGAAATATATTGTTATGGGTATAAAGTTAAAAAAAGTCATTTCAGCATTAAAATTAGTCAATAAAAAAATTAAAGGGTAAAAATATTAATTTATTATTATTGGGATGTCTTTGATAGATATATTAAATTTCAGGAGTGTAATTATCTCAAAATAAACAAATTTTTCTTTGAGAGTTCTTTTTTTTTTTTTTCCCCGGCAAAGACAAATGGAAACCAAACCCTACAACTCCGTAGAGCTAACATCTGCCATAGCAAAAGGAACTAAGAAGGAGGTAAAGAAGATAAAAATTGATCCAAATTGACCCTAGACCTCGAAAGAACTGCCAACTTATGAGCCACTCTATTACCTTGTCGACGCACAAAAGTCAAAAAAGCCGACGAAAACCGCCGCAAGTCTTGATGAATATCAAAGCATAAAGAAGTGATTTCTGAAGGACAAGTATCCCTTCGAAACACCGCATTCACCAGTACTAAAGTATCGGATTCAAACCAAACACAGGAAAAACCCAAATCCAAAGCACAAAGGACAGCTTGCTGACATACCAACGCTTCCGCCACCAACGATGATGAAGCATAAAACGGGCGAAAAATAATTGCATGAAGCACATCACCTCGACAATCTCGGAAAACCACTCCACCACCCCCTTGCAATGATTTCCCACAAAAAGAAGCATTAAAATTACACTTAACCCGTCCAGGTTAAGGAGGACTCCACAAATCCACCAATGGGATAGAAGGTGGAGGATTCAAAGAATAACAAAGGTTCCTAGCATTAAGAAATTCCCAAAAACTGGCAACCGCTCTCCAAACCGCCAACTCAAGTTGCCATAACGACCCTTCAAAGACAAATCGTTTCTTGGCCTTCTAAATAGCCCAACAACAAAAAGAAATTAAATTAAGAACATTGTCAAACTCCGAAGAGAGAATAACCTTCTGCAATAGAAAGTGCCAACACTCCCGAAAAGAAGAAAAAGAATATCCTGAAAAATCAAGCTGCAATGGTGATAACTTCCACACTTGAATGGAATGAGGATAATAAAAAAAGAAGATGCACTACAGTCTCCTCCTGTAAACCACAACGAGGGCACAGAGGAGACACCACACATCCTCGGGCTAACAAAGCAACACGAACTGACAAAGCATGCATACAACAACGCCAAAGAAAATGTTGCATCTTAGACAAAGTGCGACACCGCCAAATATAAGACTAGTCCCCAGTATGAAGTGTAACCCCTGAAAAATTAGACATTGAAATGGCCAGCTTATAAGCAAATCGAACTGAAAACTTACCCGATCGCTCTGGATTCCAAATGACTTCATCCGGTTTATCCCACCTACTGATACGAACTTTGAGAATTTCCTGGACCGTACAGGGATTGAAGAACTGAGACAAAACATCCACCTTCCACGAAGACGTAGAAAAATCAATAAACTCAGCCACAAAAGAAAAAGGAGGCGGATCAGGTGGTAAAGGAAGCTTATCCGGAAGCGTAAGAACCCAATGATCCTTCCAAACATGTGTAAAAGTGCCATTTCCAATCAATAAGCAGACTCCCTGACTTAACATGCCCTGAGCAGTCCAAATACTACGCCAACCCCAAGAAGGGTTGGTGCCCAATGAAACATCCAGAAATGAGGAAGAAGGAAAATATTTAATTTTATAAAAGTGATATAACAACCTCTGCTTTTGCACTTGAAAATGCCAAGCATGCCAAGCAATCTTTTAGAGTTCTTTTGACAAACTTTAAAGGTGTTACCATAAATTACCCTATGTTTTCTTTGGGAAGGCAAATGTGATGTATAAGGAAATTAATTTTCGGTGAAAAAACAATGTCTACGTGTACTCTTCATACATTCACAAAAGAACGTGTGGTTAAATTGTCAGTGAGAAAAGGCAGTTTATGTGAATTTATCTTGTAGGGACCAAGTTCGTTCTGGCATAACTGATGAGTTTCAATTTATCCGCCCAATAAAATTTCGCCACGTTGGCTTGCGCCGTCAATAGTGGGGTCCTTTCTTTCCCAATGTGAGTTCGTTTATATTCTTCAAAGGCCATTATTGTCTGTAGACAATAATTTCCAAAACACAGAATAAATATATCCCAATCATTAACAACCACTAACCCATCTCCCACCGTCAGAGACTCATACTTTCTCTCTCCTCCACAACTCTCTCTCTCTCTACAATTTAGAGCATCATAACGAACTTAAATTGGGTCTGCCCAAAATGGAGCTGGTACCATATTCAGAACCCAACTGCAAATCAAACTCCACCACTGTCCCATGGCAAGACATGTTCCGATCCGCGTCGATCCGAAAACCCGACCCGTCGCCCCAGAACCCCGCGCCGCCACCTCCGAATCCCTCCACCGCCGATTCCGACCAAAACCCAGATCACAACTCACTTTTGGGCGACCCCCAGGTACGTCTCGCTCTCTGTATCGCCATGGCCCACGCTGGCCTGGCCTTCACTATATTCGTACTCTACGGTCTTTGTAAATTACTCGAAGAATATCGGCGTCCCTTTCAGTGGGCAGTGCTCTGTTCAATCCCTTTGAGAGGAATTCAACAAACCCTTGTTGGGTTTTGGTCCGAGCCCTTGCAATTAGGGCTCACGGAGACCGTATTAGCGGTTCCCGTGGCTGTATTTAGGGTCTTTGTTGGTACCCTAGTTGATTTTCGTGATGTGTGCTTCCGATTTTTTCTCCGGCGAAAGAAATCGGATGTTTTGAGGCGGAATCGAAGTGGGTTTTCGAAATTGGTTCGATGGCTCGTGTCAATTTGGGTTTTTGTGATGTTGTATGAACAAATTGGAGGCATGGGGTCTATAGCAGTTATTAGCTTGGCGTTCATGTTTACCTCTAGTGCTGTTCAATCAACCATGTCCTCAGTTTCTTCATTTAGGAGTCGTGGTTTTCGCCGTAGTCCATTTAGTGCATTTTTCACAAGAGGTTTACTGAACAGGTTGAAGACAATTGTGGCTATTGGATTGATTGTTGGAATGATAGTTGGGTTTTTGGCAGGCTTGATTTTCTTTTCCTATAAGATAGGAGTTGAGGGGAAGGATGCTGTAATCTCATTGAAATCTCATGTAGAAGAGAGTAATTACGCGGAGAAGATTGGTGTTAAGCAATGGATGGATGAGAATGATGTGCCTGGGATGGTAGATATGTACACTACCAAGTGTTATGAAACTGTGTCTGAGCAGATAGATAGTTTGGCAATGCAGTATAATTTGACAGAGTTCGTCACCGGGATTAAACATTTTGTGATAACCCCATCAGTGAATTCTTCTGAGAACTCCACAGCTTTAATGAGCCCATCCCCATACACTGAGAAGTTTGTGAGTTTGAAGAAGAGGGTTAGCAATCGTGAATGGGGGGAAATTTATACCGAAGTGGATGCAATCTTTAGGGAATTACTGATCTCCAGGGAAGATTTAATTGAGAAGGCAAAAGGGTTTGCCATTCAGGGAATCGACGTGTCGCGACGTGTACTTGCTAGTAGTAAATCTGTTGTAGGGGGCAGTGCGAAGGTTATGTTTTCAATTGGTCGGTCCATAATCTGCGGAGCTGCAGGCGTTTTCAATTTTGTGTCTCAGTCTATGGTTTTCATCTGGGTTTTGTATTATCTAATCACATCCGAGTCTGGTGGGGTAACAGAACAAGTAATGTGTATGCTTCCCATTTCAAAATCTGCAAGGACTCGATGTGTTGAAGTTCTTGATAAAGCTATTTCAGGTGTTCTGTTGGCAACTGCTGAGATTGCTTTCTTTCAGGGATGTCTCACTTGGCTTTTGTTTAGACTATTCTCGATACACTTCTTGTACATGTCGACTGTACTTGCATTCATCAGTTCTTTGTTGCCAATTTTCCCATATTGGCTTTCAACTATTCCAGCAGCTGTGCAATTGGTAGTGGAAGGAAGATACGTTTTGGCCATCAGCTTGTCTGTTATCCATCTCGTTCTTATGGAGTATGGTATATCCGAAATTCAAGAGGATATACCTGGTTATAGCGCATATCTTACTGGGCTTAGCATCATTGGTGGCATGACATTGTTCCCATCAGCAGTGGAGGTAAACTGCCAGTAGTTCTTTCTTTTGTTTTTGCTCTATTGTTTGCTCTTCCTGATATTCCCATGGTAATATACTCCTTTTCAGTTTCTTCAAATACTCCAAGGAATGTCATTTTCTTGGTTTCTCTATTGAAGATTTGGTCTTTTCAGAAGTAAAAAAATGTCCTCATGTTGTTTGATTTGAAAAATAATTACCTCATCTGTATTTAATTTCTTAGGCAGAAAAATAAAAGCTAAAGAAAAAAGACAATCTAAATCAGACGAATTAAATCTTTAGTGTTGCAAACACAGCAAGTGACTGCTATGGTCGTCTGTTTTATTTAATCTTCATTTGCTTTTATTAAGCATATGATAACCTTGGTTTCCTTGTGTTTCGTCTTAGTTGGTCTCCAGTTACTCTCTTATTAATTAAATATTTGACATTACCTTTTCAATGTCTTGTGCAAAAATTTTTGTGGCTGGCATGCAGCACTTGATTGATGTGTTGTGATTAATACACAGGGAGCAATAATGGGTCCGCTGATAACTACAGTTGTGATTGCTCTTAAGCATTTGTACGTCGAATTTGTTCTGGATGAACCAAATGAAAGTGATAAGTAGGATGCAGTGTGAGTTTCTATTGCTGTCTGGAGAATTCGTTTGTGTACATTAGTTCAACTGCTTGGAAGAAATTGCAGAAATTGTTATTCTCAGCACTTATTTTTTGCTGATCTATTCACAGTGCCTCTCTTCAACAACATGGTATATTTATTGAATTTTTTGATTATATTCTTGTCTTTTGGGGGTTCTCTGTTTGTTTTTCCTTGTGCAAAAAAATTAATGAATAGAAATGGATTGTTTATGTATCCTCTTGATTATTGACAGAAAAAAGAATGTACATTTTCTTTTTTTCTTATTGAATGTACATTTTTATTGTATTTATATATATAAAGATTTTTTCTGTCTCATACTCGGAACATGTGCGGAGATGTGGCTTTATATCTTTTATATTTTTTCCCCATGATTTCATTTTTTTGTTATAAATCAGTCATTTGGTATATATATTATGCAGATCGCATTTTCTTGGTGTCGCTAAGCAGTCAATACAATTATACAATATCAATCTTTTCCCTTTCAATACAAGTCATATCCTCCCCCTTCTTTTCCATCTTAGGTGAGCAAAGGAGTAGCATACTTTTGTGTGTGCGTGCGCGCGCGCTGGCTAGGAGAATCATTTTCAGTATACCTAAGTGAGGAGGAGAACATGATAAATGAAATTGCAGGACACACATGCAAAGTTGGTCTGATTGCACGTGGACATTTGATTTCAAGAGATGAGTTTTATGTAATTTGTGGCCATCAACAACCTATTGTGTGTGTGTGTGTGAGAGAGAGAGAGAGAGAGAAATTTTTGGCATACAATGAGGTTCTGAGAAAGATTATTAGGAATGGGTATGTTTAGCAATCCATTTTCTGGTTACTAGTAGGCACTGCAGTAGCTGTTATTTTTCAGACCTGTCTTGTTCATTTGTTCCCAAGTAGTATAAAAACCGGGAAAAAATTGTTCATTCGTTCCGACTTAACCATCCTTTTTTATTGTTGATTTTAAGTTATTTCAAGTGATTACACCTGTTCAACATGAATGAAACATTTGCAAACAACTTAAAATACAACTCTAGATATATATATGAAGAGTACCAGTAAACCATCCAAAAGATCGACTAAAAATTCTAGTCAACTTCATAGAAGAAAGCAACACCATACAACAATAGAATCTAATTAGATGTTTACTTCCTTGAACAATTTTTTTTTTTTTTTTTTTTTTTTTTTTTGTTGTTGTTGCCAAATTTGGTACCTTCAACGATATAAAACCCAAAAAATATCCCAAACACACGAGTGTTTCTCAAACTTAAATGATGGTTACTTCATGTACTTCTGGAGAAACATCTGGTGGAAGTCGTTCCTAATGGTGTCATTGTTGAAGCGCTCGAGGGACTACTTCTCTTCACCATTAGCGTGGTTTCTAAACACAACGTGGTCATCTACTGCTGAACTCTACTCAGATCATGACAATAAACCATAAGATTTGATTGAAAAACAGAGGAAAGCAAGTATTCAAGCAATTGAAATTTTCACTCGGGAAGATGATGGACAATTAAGGGTAGGGTTTTCTGTATCAACTCCGGTTTCTGTGGCCTTAAGCTCCTCTTCTTGCTTTCACCCGTCCTGCACAAAGCTAATTTGTTTGCAGAACTAATGCCATTAATGGTTTCGAGGGAATAGGATGTATGTACACACAGTCAACACAGGTGGGAGCCTTACTCTTAAAATGATGATATTCAACTCTGCACTGTTTTTTCATGAACATATGCAATTCTATATGAGTAAAGTCACCATTAAATACTAGCTAGTCTGATTCTCACAAGGAGCTACAAAGCATTCCTGATTCTCTACAATTCATGCCTCAACTCCAACTTCTCTAATAAGCAGGATGAGAAACCTATCTACCCGATTCGCTTCTTCTCATCCAAGTAGCAGTTTTATGAGGTGAATTTTACCGGTACTAGTGAATCATTATCCACCCACTGTAATGTACTCTGCGAAAGTGCACTTATCAGTTATATGATCAAAACATGGAAGACCCAACTCATCTTTTTTTATTTGGAGTATCCACCTTCAAGGATGTTACAGTATCCTTAGTAAGCTGCACTCAAACTGAACATTATATGGATCGATAATTTGTTTATTGAAGTCTTAAATCAACTAATTAAGCCTCATTCAATCTAAAATTCTAATCTTCTTCCTAAAATTTCCAAGTGAAATGGACCTTCATTTCTGACACCACCATGAATAATACCTACAAGTTCCTATCTCTTGTTTTTTGTTTCTTAGGCACATATATTAAAAAAGAAAAAAGAAAAAGGAGGTACAAGTTTAACCAACATGAAGAAGAACAGTAATTCTGAAAGAGTATTCTACTCCATTATTTATAAATCATATACTTGGTCGAACATTTCAAAATCGAAAGAATTCTCCGGCACAACAAGCAAAAAGTAAGACTTCAAAGGATGATGTGAATGAGAACACAGAAGACTGGTTGAACTATATTTGCAGTAATCAAAGAGAGACAATTAAATTCAAAGGGTACTGGCAACATACTTGTGAAAGATAGAAAATAGTGTTTTACCTTCGGACGATGGCCTCCAATTTGATTCCTCCTCAATTCGCTGCGTGTGTGTGTGTGTGTGTGAGAGAGAGAGAGAGAGAGAGAGAGAGAGAGAGTTGGGGGTTCCTATCATAAGGCATGACTATTTAACGGGGGGAATTCACAGCAAGGGCAGAAGAAAAAATATAGCTCAATAATTCTTTTTCCTTGTTCCTTCTCTATGTTTTTAAAAATTACGGGAGTATTAAAAAAAGAAAAAGAAAATCATCACCCATCTCATGTACCCATATTTTTTGAAAATAAAACCAGGGCATGTTTAATTTTTGATATTATCCTGTATAAAGCGACTCAAAATAGCAAAAAATTATAATTGTCAGTCTGAGCTTTTCATCATTATATTATTGGTAAAGTGCAAAAAAATACTTGACTTTTTGCAACTAATCCCTTGAATTAAAGATTGTCCCACTAAATTATTGATTTGTTACAATTAAGGACAAATTCATCACAAAAGACTATTTTACCCTTTCTTATTAAATTATGCTTTATTATATTTTTTCTCATTTAAATATTAATTATAACTTTTACCTTAAACTTTATAATTAGTATCAATTTATTATAAAAATGGAAAAAAATAAATAAATTTGTAGCTATCATTTTCTAAAATGATTAGCTTTTATAATAAAACTTATTTATACCCACTTTAAAAAAAAAATTAGTATAAAAAAATATCTTCTCTTTCAAACAATATTCATGAAAAATTAATAAATTATGTAAATAAAAATATATTTTTTTAATGTAATATATTCATGAAAATTAAAAAATTACCTAAATTGTTTCAAAAGTTTCTATTTAAGATTTTTATTTAAATAAGTAATTAAAAAAATTAAAGGCAAACTTTTGCAAATTTAATGAAGAATATTTCATCAAATTAGTATGACTTTTTTTCATAATTTATTTCAACAAGAAAAATATATTGTAATTCAATAAGAAAGGGTGTTATAGTCATTTAATGAAAAATAGGTAGGACAATGGGGCATTTTGCAAGTAAATGTGATAGTTTAGAGGGTTTTATGTACAAAATATAGTTAAGAGGGATTATTTACAAATTTAGACATAGTTGAGGAAAGTTTTGGACACTTTACCCTTTATTGTTCTCATTCATTAAACCAAATAAAATTTTCTTTTACAAATCTTACGCTAGGACTTAGTTATCATCTTAAAACAATGTTGACAAGTCTCTTGAATCCATTTATTGCATGCTCTTACTTGCTTTTGTCGGCAATTTTTAACAATAACCTTTTTCTTGTAATACACAACATTGTTTCCTTAAAAAATGGAGGAAAAAGAAGAAGAAAGAATTCCATGAGCAGCATAAAAAAAAAATAATGACTTTTACACATAGAAGTCAACAAATTCTGAAATTAGGTTCTTCTATGATTTAGTCAAAGAATTTATGGTGGTCTACACTAATGATTAAGACTTTACCTAAAATTATATAGTACACTGGCATCTCTTATCTTTGTACAAAATTCTGAAATTAGGTTCTCAAATGAGCACTAACATTTCTTATGGTTGTCTTTGCTTGTTATGCAGTTCCAATTTTGTTTTCAAGAGTGATGTTGTGAGTCTGAAAATCCAACCTCATTGAGGTAGAATATCAACAACCAAATTTAAATGGTGCAAAACAGACATGTTATGCTATTAACATCTTTCCAACTTTATTATTAATATTAATGTTGATATTGAGGTATGATCGACAAAACAAGTTCCCTACCAATAGACATATCACCCAAGTTTAGTAATTCCCATAATTGCAAAAATGTGTGAGAGCAATGGTGGAATCCTTCCTGCGCGCGCTTTTCTAATGCAGATACAGATACAATGTCAAGCTCTCTGTGATGCTGAGGTGAAAAGGATTTGAGCTTTTCATATATTCATATATTGCCTATATAACCATTTTTAAGTACAACTTAGTTCTCTCACAAGGTACACAAACCTTGAACCATCTCAGCTAAAATCATCACCTAATTGATGAGAAGGCCAAAACAAATCATTTGTGTCGTGTTGTATAATCTTATTTTTTTATTTTTTGGCACGTGAAAGTGAAAGACGTGAAATAGAAGGTTGAGGGTTCCAAGTCATAGGAGTGCGTGAGTTTCTTGAAAAAAAAAGAAAAAAAAAGAAAAAAGAAAAATGATATTTGCTCCTTTTTGTTACAGTGAATTACCAGACCTACTTCTTTTAATCGGTAGTTTTTGCAATAAACAAGAAAGTAGGGCCCTTCACTTGTATTATGCATAAATAATCAATCGGAAACATTCGGTTAGATAATTCACTACAACATATCGGTGCAAGTATCGTTACTCAAAAAAAAAAAAGAGTGGTAAAATATTACGCTTTTATTGCAGCAATTTACATTTATGAGTTGTTTAATGAAACACATATTAGGAATGGAAGCAATCATTCAAATTGCGCAACAGAAAAATCAATTGAATAAAAATATTCTTACTTTGATAATTCTCTTACCATTTGATTAGTAAGTATATATATATATATATATCTCAAATGTCTACAGTTGCTTATCAATGATTCAAATAAATGGATTTGCCAAGTTGCTCTCTTAACCACATCTAATCATCATATAAAAGCAATCCAAAGGACGAGCATTACATTTTCAAATCCTCACAATAGTGCAAGAGGACCATACTACTCGAACATAAAACAAACTTGCTGGTTGAATTAGGTGACCAACCAAATATGTCAACAATCTCACAACCACTATACTCCACAAAATTTTCAAAATCTTCAAATGAATAAATAAATATATATATATATATATACATATAAATAACTAGCTAAGGTAAGTCCAAATTATGTGTCAACCTGTTTTCCAATTAAAATCAAAGTCATATTAACTCAACAGTCAACAATGATGTCACACTAAAAAAATGAGCTTTGCTTTTATCCTAATTCTAGGTTGGAGGTATTGGAAGTTGAAGAACCAAAACTGTTTCAGCTTTGCTTACTAAATAAACAAAAACCAGAGGGAAGTTAGGCCAACGGTTAGTGTTACACTCCAAATCCCTTGGAACCAAAGCAAAGCTATCTGTTCGATTCTTGGTCACCATCTGAACCCAAACTTCACCCTCCTGTCTTGTTCACCTTCTTTAATTTTCTGTTGGCCCAACCTTTGATTCACATTTTCAAATTCATTAAATATTATATTGTATTTAATTGGAGGTTCATACCATACCCACCCATTAACTACTCTCACATCCATTGCATTCTGTATTGCTTTGGGGTATGACTAGTGAATTTTTCTCTTTCCAAAGTGTTGAATTCTGCGGTTCTCGGAAATTTTTGGAAGTCAATCAACTGCTGCATACCCACTAAATTCAGCATCCAATTCTCTTCAAGATTGAAAATTTGAAAGTGTCTACCAAAAGAGTTGTGAATTGCAGCTAATGTGCTCTCGTATTCAATATTTTTCGCAGCAATTCATGGGCTGACATATTCATTTTGTTGACGCTTAATTTATATTTCTGGGAAAGAATTCTATTTGTTGGGTTCAAATGAATACTCGTTACTTCTTTACGCCAGAATCGTTGTGTAATTCAGGAATTGCAGTTCCATTTTCGTCAGTTTCTCCCACAGGAGAGGACAGAATGGCTGGGGGTGTCCGGAACAGGTCTTCTCGTTCTCCTCCTTCTTCTTTTTTGATAAGAATGGCCGTGAGGATATCGAGAGCAAGGTGGTACAGTTTCCTAAGAAGGGTGTTTCATTACCAGAATGCATCAAGATCTTCTGATCTTGGGTCCAATCCATTCAACTCCGGGACTTGGATGGTCATGGAGGCTATAGCTCTGGTTGTCCAAATTGTTGTCACAACATATACTCTGTCTATTTCCAAGGCAGAGAAGCCAATTTGGCCTATGAGAATATGGATTCTAGGGTATGGTTTTGGCTGTGTCCTCAGCCTGCTGCTACTCCAGTGGCGCTACCGGCACTTTCATGCCACTCTGGGAGATGGACTAAGCCTCCCCAATGTAGAACAGCAGAGAAGCAATGAAGAATCCAGGTATTTGATTCATTTCTCAAGTCCAGGTTCTATAACCAAACCAATATTTTGGGTACTAAGCTACATCTCAATATAGAGCAAAAATAGATCATTCTGAGATTGAAAATAGTCTAAACTAAGCTAGATCTCTTCACTTTATCAAATTTAATACCTTTCCATATTCATGGTTTTCAAAACACCTCTACACAATTAGGAGACATCCACACATAAAATTGTCAACAACTTCTTCCCTAACAATAAGGGACATCACAGATACACTTATTCCATGCTTCTGATCAATGTGTATATACAGGAGTGTTGTGTTAATGCATAAATGCCGGACTTCTCTTGAGCTGTTCTTTGCAATATGGTTCGTGATGGGTAATGTTTGGGTGTTTGATTCTCGATTTGGATCTTTTCGTCGAGCTCCCAAGCTTCATGTGCTCTGCATTGCTCTGCTTGCTTGGAATGCTCTCTGCTACTCATTTCCATTCCTACTGTTTGTGTTCCTATGCTGTTGTGTGCCGATGATTAGCAACTTCCTCGGATACAACATGAACATGGGATCCACTGATAGAGGGGCATCTGATGATCAAATTTCCAATCTACCTAGCTGGAGATACAAAGAAGTGGACACCAATTTAGAGCTCGGAAAATCAGTTGTGGATAAGGAAAATCCAGTAAGTTACAAATAACTTGGCCTAAAAATAGGGATAGCCCAAAATTAGTGTTTCTAACATGTACTCTTTGGCTTATTAAACTAAAACCAAAACATTGAAAAAAAAAAAGAAAAAAGAAAAAAGGATGCTATTGTCATTTATGGAAGACTGATTAGTTTCTCTTGTTGTCTTTTGGTGGTGTGAACAGGAATGCTGTATTTGTCTAGCCAAGTATAGGGAGAAGGAAGAGATCAGACAACTGCCATGTTCACATACATTTCACCTCAAGTGTGTTGATCAATGGCTGAGAATTATATCTTGCTGTCCTCTTTGTAAACAAGAACTAGAGAGGTAAAAAAAAAAAAGCAAGATGGCAATTGAGGAGCTGAAGTTGATCAAGCCCTTTTTTAACCCTTTCCTTTTTTCTTTTCTTTTTATCTTTTTTACTTTTTCAATATGATTCTGATTTTTATGTAAATTACTTGTGGTTACTTGAGTGAGTTTATTGTTTGTACCTTGTAGCTCACCAGTAACTTATAATATTTGAAGTCTACTACACTACCTGGAGATGTTAGAATCTTTGCTTCCCAAGGGTAGTAGCAAGAGTCATTTATTCCTTCCAAATACTTGTATATGCTTTCCTAAATACAAATACTGAATAATGCATTGACAATACTCGTGTATAAATTACTAACTTTTTTTTTGTATACTAACAAGTCCATTATGTGCACTCTTGGGTTGAGTTTGAGTCATATTTTAAAAAACAAGCAGAGAAGAATAATGAGAAGAAGGTGGAAATGTAAAGAATGCGGATTGTGTGAGGTGAAGGATTGGAAGAGTGCATTTGGTTGAAAAAATAAATGAATTGGTTTAAGATTCCATGTAGGTTACAATTATAATTTAATTATCTGTGCTGCACTTACTTAATTAGAAGTTAATTATCAAGGGGAGAACAATGAATAATCTCTGTTTTTGTGTTTCTATATCATGGAAAAGAAAAACAAAAATAGTTGCAACATTTTATTGCACTCATTTTGTCAAATGTCAAGGGTAAAATAAGAATTCTAACTCCTCTATTCTTTTTGTTCACATCTTTTACACTAAAAGGATTTAGCTCAAATTATGACTCTTTATGTCTTAAAAAAAATTTGTATCTCTTTAATAATAATAACAACAACACAACGTGTTGTGGGAGATGTAAAGAATGTGGATTGTGGGACTTACCTAAATAAAGTCCTTTTATTTTTATTTCTCTTTTAATATTAACTGAAAATACTGTTAGCCCATCATTTGGAAAGAAAAAAAAAAAAGAAGAAGATAAGTTATACTGATTTCATTTGAAGTTGGGCAATAGACCGGACCGCTCAATGTTTATTACATAGACTATTTAACATTTATTATTTTAAGGTTTTTGAGATTTGGCACATGTAACGACATATCAAGCATAATAACAAATTTACCATTCTCTTTATATGAAAAGAGAGTAATAACCTTATATATTTTAGTGTAATATAGTATTATAATATAAGGGTATATTGATTTTTCACATTCGAAGTCACTTTTAACAATTAACTTATAGGTTTAAGGGAGTTCAAAATATGACACGCATGTAAGGCCCAAAATACATGAATACCCAATGTTTTATAACATAATTAGATAGACATGATTTTTTTTAGGTAATTTTATTAAAATTTTAAAGACCATTATAACTCACTGTACGTATTAAAAATTATAAGTAATTATATATTTTTATTGAATCAATTAATACTAGTATATTTAATTGGTTGATCGGCAGTATCTCGACTTTTAACTACCAAAGCGTTATAAATATTAGGCATCTTGCCCGGAGGAAAAGCTACATCTAGTACCGGACCAATGATTTGAGCGATACACCCCAGGTTTTTTTTTTCAAGCGTGGAAATTTCAGGAACAGAAATAGTAGGATTTATTCTAATAATAATAAATAAAAATATGTCGAAATTTTTTGCAAAAATTATCGAATTCAAAATCAATGTCCAATAGCGAGTTGATAGGTTAATTCAATAAGAAAAGGGAGCTAAAAGTGAAATAATAAATATTTATACCATATAAAACATGTTAGAAGAAAAAAATATATACAATACAAGTCAAAGAAATAGTACCCATGCTTTAACATTCTAAAGCAAATATAATATTACACTTTTTATATTTTTATATTTATATATATTACATCGGAGAATTGAATTACTTTTTCATTGGATTTGTAATCTCTAAAATTTAGGATATATTTTCTTTTGTCAATTATAACCAGAAATATTTTTATAGTGTAATGTTGTAATTATAAAGAGATTCTGGGAGTAAAGTTAAAATTGTTAATTCTTGACAAAGAAAGAAAAAAAGACAGAACTCTTGCGCCCTTTCGAGAGAGTTCTAAAGAGTCTACATCCCGCCTTCGGATAACGGAAATTGTTAACAAAGAAAAAACAAATCTCCACCCGCGAAGTGAAAAATTCCGGCGGCGGAGACAACGGCATCAATAAAGGTGATCTTTGCCTCTGTAAGCAATCATATATTTTCTTTTTCCCCTCTATCCTCTTCTTCTTCTTCTTCTCCGCGAGTCTAGGAACCTAGATGAAAGAGATTAAAAGTAGTATTTGAGGTTTGGATGCCAGATCCGACCTATAAGTATTTGAGGTTGCCGGCCAGCAGTTTTTTATTTTTTATTTAAGGGTTGCAGGCCGGATGAACCGACCGGTTTTTCGGGAAATCGCCGGTTCACTTACGAACCGGCCGATTCCAAGGTGAATTCCCAGTATACGGACTTACGGAGTGGTAGTGGTAACGCTGGCTCTGAAATCTAATGCGAACCGTCCGGTTCGGCTAACCACTGTTGAAAATAGTAAATGTAAAACGTGTAATGTGTGGGTAAATCAGTCTCAGGCGGTTATACGTACACGCGCGTGCACAAAAATATACTAGTATTTTTCTTTTTTCTTTAAACAAATGCGGAGTATAAATTTTATATTCGTATATTACTTGTCTAGCAAGACTCGTACAACAAAAGCAGTGTTTGTTAACCAATTGAAATCATGTTCGCGGACAGGAACCGCCTATAGTGCAACTATTTGAAAATCATACTCTCTCTCTCTAATCCCCGAAACTTCCGTCTTCGACTATTACCTTCTTCTCCGTTTCCCTGCAATATATATATAATATATATATTCTCCGACGAAGTTCCGGTTCGATTCGTTCCTTTTACATACTCTTACAGGTACTATTTGTTTTCAATTGTCGATAAACTAAACCATCAAACATAACCGATCTTGGATTCGGTTCAGTTTTAACAGAAAATATTTTGAATTTCAATGTAGCACTAAATTAGGGATTAGTTATTGCTTCTATTTTATTTATTTACTTTGAGCAATTGATCTTATTGGACTTCATTGATCTCTCCATAAATTATATGTTGTTTTGGTTATCAGATCATTCACGTATAAGAATTTATATACAAAACTATTCTTGTACACAAAATCAGGATCTTATTATGTGTCAAATATGTCCTATCCTGTATGTGTGTGCCAGAGTGAGAATGCAACAATCATGTAAATGTGTTAAATTGGTAGGCCCCTAAATGGAATAAGGGCAGTTAAGGTAACTAAAATCAAAACCCTCCTCGGGTTCGGGGCAGGGATGAATTTAGTGTTTAACCTATCCCGAACCGCCCTTGTTTCGAACTAGATTATGTATATGTATATATATATATATATATATATATCAAAATTTTTAAATTTTTTTTTTTTTTGGTTTTCATGTCATAGGTTTTTTATTTTTTGGCATGCAAATGGATAGATGACAAATTAGGAATCTTGTCCCAACACTTTATAAATTTATTTATTTATTCATTTTCATGTCATTGATGGACTCTTTGAAGTTCAAAACCCTTTGTTCTTTCACTCTTGGTATGACATGCCCCCCATCCCTATGTAGCTTGTAGGTGCACTGCGCCAGGACATAGGATAGTGCACAGGATCCCCTAACACGGAGGGGATCCGAGTTCGTATATATATGCTTGTCTCTGAGTCTGGTTACGCGGGTTAACGCTTGTACATCAGTACCATTGGCAACGGTTAGAGTCGCACTTTGTAAAATAACAAGGTTATGTCTGTCTTGACTGTTTGTGTTTTGATTTTATGGCTTCTAACCTAACAGTAAGATTTTCAGGTTATTTTCTCCATTAATTTCAAGATGTCTTCAGTGATTGCGAGTACGGCTGGAATCCAAGTTATGCTACCACTGGGTATGTGATAATCTACCATCCTCAGCTTTTTTTTAAAGCACGAGACAAATGTTCTTTTGATTTATAATGACGTTTTACTAATTGAAAATTCACTGAAATTCATTCTGGAAGCTTATTCGGCTTCCAAAGTATTAAGAGGAATGGGCGACTGGTATGGACATTCTCTTGTGAAAACAGAATGGGGTGAGTTGTTTATTATATATCCGTTGAATGCTAATGAGGCTTTACTAAGGTTCTATGTGCCGAGTTCATGCGATTCGAAATAAAGGCCTTGGTACTCATTTCGGTGTAGTTAAAATTAGGAGGATTTGAAATTGGAGAGATACACATGAGAACAACATTATAAGGTTGATGTTTTTGATTAATTAAGAAATTTTAATATTTTTGATAGAAGGATTATTTTTTTGTTGGGGCTAGTCTTATAAAAAAATCACATCTGCTTGATAGAATGGTTGTCAAATCATGCAGATGGTTACCACTTCAGTAGTTTGTGATTTGTATGTGATAAAAGACATTATTGCTGCAACCACAATGGGTAAGTTTGCTAAAGCATGTTCCATAGTCTCGTGCATCTGCCTTTACGGATATTCAGTTGAACATGGAACTTACAGGATGTGGCAATTTTTTTGTAATTAGCTAGTTAATTTTTTTTTAAGAAAAAAAAAAAAAAAAAAAAAAAAAAAAAAAATTAGAACAACACAATGCATGAAATGCTGCTTTTATGATATATATTAAATTAGTGAGCATGCTTTGTACTCACTTTTTTTTTTTTTTGTTGGAGTTATTTGGCAAGTTTCAAAACTTATTTGAACATCTGAATCAAAGGACCATGACATTAACTAGGAAAAAAAAAAAGGACCATGACATTTAACAATGATTATGAGTCAGCAACTTAGCATTCTCTTGGAACATGGACACTCAGGAAGCATGTTGTGTTCTGTTGACCCTTTAAAGTTTGTGTAAGTAACAAATTATGGTTCTGCACATTGACCCTTTAGACATATATTTGCTATTTGGAATAAGACCAGTATAACCAACGTAGACATTGTACCAAGGATCGGATATGTCCACTCTACCATTCGTAGCTTCCTATTTGCTTTAAGAGATACAAGTAGTCCGTTATCAGTTTTAAGTATCAACCTAGAATTCTTGAACTTACTAAAGTAGGAACAAATAAAAATATGTGGATTGAGGGGGAAAAAAACGAGTTGACTGTGCTGGTTCAAGTTTTTTTTTTTTTTTTCCTTTTGGTTGGGAGGTATGCGCTACACGCTGGATATGGACGAAAAGGAGGGTGAGATGGATGAAGATGATTCGGCGAATGAGAATTAACGAGTTAGACAGTACTTTTAAAATACTAAAAAGATAAAGATTGTGAATAGTGGACAAGATTTTATGGAAGATATATAATATCAGCCAATTTCAAGTTTGTAACTAAGTGAGGAAGAATTTGCAAATTACCTGTGCTACAGTTTAATATTAGGCTTAACATTTAGAAAATAATTTTTTATTCAATAGTTGATCACTAACCCAAGGGACCAAGACTGAAAGTTTACCATGGCCATAGGCCTTCCCTCTGCACCTCCATTTCAGTTCAGGTTCAAACACCCCCCTCTCTTTCTCTCTCTAACTATGTAAATGTACGAGCCGCTGTTTTCCAGGCTGGGTTTGGCTGCCCTATCAAAATAACCTTGAATTTTTAGCTTTACTGGCACATAAGCTAACTGGCTATTTCCTAATCACCTAGCACAGCCATCACAATGAGCTGAGTTGGTTTGGGTTTTTTAGTTGGCTCAAAACTAATTGCACCTTAATTTACATAGCAGTTCTCTCATTTATTCTCACTTTGTTGATAAATTCCATTCTTCTGATTCCTTTTTCTATTTCTTTCTTCATGTTTAATGATTTACCCATGCCTTCAATATGACGAAGCTGAAATGTATTTTATATGTTCATCTACATTAAAATTATAAGTGTCACAAGGAACAGAATACTCTTTATTTTGGACAATTTCAGAGATAGAGAATGAAATATCCAATTGAGAAAACTGAAAAATGCACTTTTCTAATAACCAGTGAAGTGTGTGCATGTTGCGTTGGAACTTCATCCTATTGGGTTTGGTAAGATTTTGCAGTTATTGTTGGAACTTCATCCTATTGGGCTTAGTAAGATTTTGTAGTTATTGATACTGCTTATGAATATATCTTATGAATACTAAATTGTCATATCTTCTTCACACAGTGAGATCAGAGGGGCAGCGTACAAGGCAGCCCAAACTTTTTGGATCTTGTCCAATCGGACCGAGGCCACTTAGCATGCAGTTTCGACCATTTGATAGAAGACTAACAGTTTCTCATGCAATCCGAGCAAAGTTTGATCCTGTAAGATGGCGGCCACTTAACATGCAGTTTCGACCATTTGATAGAAAACGACCTGCTTCTCATGTAGGATGTGCTGCCACTCTGGTAAGTTTATCTTTGCAAAATTTTGGGTTCCTAAATACTCTTTTTACTTTTTCAGCAGCCTGTGACTCTGAGAAATCTACTTTTTTAGTTATTGACGTTATTATAAAATTGAAAAAACTACTGAATACACTTCTGTTGAGATTCTGGAATAGCTAGCGGGGTACAACTCTCCCTCTCTCTCTATATGTGGTTATTTAATCAGAAATTGGGGACAGCAGAGTTGGGATATGGATGAAAATATCAAATCAAGAAATTTGTTATCATTTCTATTTTTCTTTGTGTAATATCATTTTTATCACGGATACTTAGAATTGAAAGCTTGTAAAGCACTTGGGATCCTTCTGTCTTGATCTGATAATTTCTCTGCAGAATGCAAGATGTGGTGCAGCAGTCGCTGAGCAAACCCAAACTGTCAAAAGGCAGCAATCAACTATTGATCCTATACAGGGTATGGTTTCTGCTTTTGTTACTGCTTGTGGAACTATGTTGTTGTAATACAAGTAATATTATAGTTTCTTGTCTTAAAATCTCAATTTCTGCGTTGATAGTTATATTACCCTTAATCATACTATTAACATTATGACTGTAATACTGTATATACAATTATCAAATGAAATAATGTTGGTCATTGTACTTTTCAATTTACATTAGATAATGGTAAGTGTAAAAATTGAACTTCCATTAATAATTCAATGAGATAACTGCGAAAAGATTGCGGGCTTGGTGGGTTGGGTTGATAGGACCACAATCTAGCTAAATGGGCCTGACCAATTGGCCATATATGTGGGCCTCAATCTTAATTGGCAGGTCAGGCCGATTGGGTTTCAATCGGACAAAACAGCCTATAGCAACGAGTTAAAACTGTTAGTTCCAGACTTAACAGGCTCATGAGATGGTCTGTTTGGACCACTACAAGACTGAATCCCGCTGGGTTGGGGATCGGTGACTCCTAAATTGCCTATTCAAAAATAAATAAGAAATGGAAACATGCTAACAAAAGATGATGAGGTTCTGGTGGACTGGCTCCGATGACCCAACCCATTCCCACTGGATAAAAGGGACACTTAGTGCCTTCAAAGGAAAGATGGAGTCCTCAGTTTTAAAGATATCCACTCTTTTAACTTGGCCCTCCAGTCAAAACTAGCATGGCGCCTCTTCAGGGAAGATAATTCCCTCTTATTCCAGACTCTAAAAGCAAAATACTTCCATAATCACTCTTTTCTTGAATCCTCATGTAAATCAACTGCCACATGGATATGGCGTCCATGCTACCATTCCCATCATCCTCAAAGGCATGAAATGGTCCGTCTCAAATGGCACCCAAATCCACTGCTGGGAAGAACCGTGGCTCCCGGACCCAACAAACTATTTTATCACCACCCAAATCCCCCCCAACTGCCCAATTCTCACTGTTGCCGACCTAACAATCCCAAACCCCATCCGTTGGAACTCTACCCTCATTCGAAATACTTTCAATTCCAGAGACACCAATCTTATCTTGCAAATCCCACTCAGTGAGGAAGGTGGAACAGACAACATAATCTGGGGAGCCTCATCTTCAGGTGATTTCTCTGTCAGCAGTGCCTACAAAATCGCCTCCCTCCCTCCCTCCCTCCCTCCCTCCCTCAGCTGGCAGTAGCAATACCCACATCCACTCCCCAAACTGGTCTCAAAATTTGGAAGCTGAGCACCAGCTGAAAAATACAAATCTTCATTTGGCAATGTGCCCACAATCACCTTCCCATTTTAAATCCGACATTTAGTGGATTGTAGCATATGCCCGGTCTGTGGTACTGAAGAAGAATCCCTCATCCACCTGCTCTTTCGCTACCCTAGCTCACTCACTGCTTGGCGCATCAGTCCCCTACGGCTTGATTTCAGTTGCATTCCCTGCATTTCATGGGCGCTATATGGGCCGTCTTATCCTCTCTCTGGCACTCTTACCCAGATTCAAATTCCTTCACCTTTCTCTGTTGGATAATTTGGAAAAGCCATTGCAATTGGCATTTTTACGTCCTGAGAGATCCCAAATCCACTGTTGATCGTGCCCTCTTCTACTTCCATGAATTTTGCGATGCGAAGTCTGAGGATTCTCTTATGGATCCTTCTCCTACCCTCTCTCACCCCACTCACTGGCTCCCTCCAGTTCTTGGTCGCCTCAAGCTCAATGTCGACACCGCAGTACTGCGAGAAATTGTTCCTCTGATTTTGGCCTCTGATGTATCTTCCCTTTCTTAGCTTCCCTTTTTGTCCGGACAAAAAAAAAAAAAAAAAATCCTAATTTGAAGAAAATAAAATTATTACCAAAAATATAAATTTAAATTAACAAACTGGTAGAAGTTAAGACATGATGTTTTTAGTCAATACAATTACATCTCAAGTTAAAAAATTCTTCTTGTTTGAGTTACTTGCACATATTCTCAAGTTCAAAAATTCTTCTTGTTTGAGTTACTTGCACATATTGATAAGGAGGATGCTGCTTCCTATGGACTTGTTCATATCAAGAACCCTTCTGGAATATGTTTTTCGAAAAAATAAATAAACATCTTTTGGTACATATTAGAACTGCCTAACCCCTTGAGAAGCGCGGCAGATACCTAGCCATGAGGAGTATACTGTTTCAATGCATTCATGGAAGTTAATGTATGTTGCACATAGATTTCAGCATCTTTTCTATTTTCTTTCTATCTTGCATTATTATTATTTATGTGCTCCTGAATATCTTACGGCTATCAACAACTTCATTGGGACTAAGAAACACTAATCAGATGTTTGGAACATATCTTTGGATTGCAGGGAAGGAAAGACCACCACAACTCGACGATGGTGGGACTGGACTTCCTCCCCATGATGGTAGTGGTGGCGGGGGTGGCGGAGGAGGTGACTTTTCTGGTGGTTTCTTCTTGTTTGCCTTTCTTGCTTTTATGGGCTTCTTGAAGGATAAAGAAAGAGAAGAAGATGAATATGGAGATAATAGGAAAAGAAGAGAGAATTATCTGTGAGATGAAATTTTTTTCAACCATTTGAGCATCATGGATCCAGCTTTTGCCTTTGGTTGAAGGGCATCTTTTTTTAGTTCTTTTGTTAGTTGGTTCAGTGAGAAAATTTGTTGAAGTCCTATTATATTCACAACTTTATCAAGTTTTTGCCACTAACATGATTCAAATTTTTAATCAGTATGGAATATTGTGGGTCCAGGAAGCATAAGATATTATTGAAAAATGTTTGGTGGATAAGGTGAATTATTAAATGGATTCCCTTTGTCACGGCAATTATTTTAACTTTTCTGTGTATTATTTTAGAAAATATAATTTTGGAGTGATAGTAAAATCTACCATTTTTTTGAAGCTCTTTTCGTTTAAATTCATAATATACTTTTCTGGAGCTCTTTTTAATAATATGACTTTAATTTTGTGTAAATTCATTATGGAGTGATTGTAAAATCTACCATTGTAGTTTTTTTCGTTTAAAAAGAAAAAAAAATTATTGTAGATTAAGATTTATTGGAGTTTAAATTGATTCTCTAAAGTGGGTTATCTTTATAAGTGAACTTCAATTTTTATTGTTTACCATTTGAAATTAAGCACATAGATCAAGGGATCAAATATTTTAATTGTTTACCATTTGAAAGTTTTGGTGATATATCAATAAAAAAGATTCTGTTAAGTGTCATTTTCTTGCTAAGCTGGACGGGGATGATGATGATGATAGAGAAAGCTATGCCATTAGTGGTTGGAGGGTGTAAGTAAGGTAGTGACATGCCATATATGGAGGAAACAACTGAAAAATAGTCTGATTTCCCGCATTTAATGAATTCAAATAAGACAATAATGTTGGTGACTTCAAAAAAAATAAAATATTTTAAGCAAATAGATATACGGTGTTTTTTGATTATTTAATTCAGTGTTTAATTTTGAACGCATTAAGTGCAATGTATTCAAAATTAAAATACATTTAATAATGTACTTTAAAATTTTAATATTATTTAAAATGAAATAAAATTTTAAATGATGGAAATATTATTTATTGCTGAATGCTGAGAATTTAAAAAGATATAAAAAAATACCTACTTTAAATAAATAAGTAATTAGACATATTGCATAAAATATCCTTTTACTTCTAAATTGTGGCAAAAAATCCTCCCGCTGAAAATAGTGAACATAAAACTTTTAACTATTCAATTTGTTACAAAGTGATAATTATTAACCTTCGGGAAAAAAAAAAAGTGATAATTATTATGACGAAAATGCTCCTTAATAAAAATAGTTTATCTAAATATGAAATTAAAATGAATAAAAATAACTCATTCGGCATAGTAGTGTTAAAAAAAATTCGCAACTTTTTTTTAATGGTGCATCTACAATAAAATGAAAATACCTTTAATTTAAAAAAATTTAAAAAGAAAAAGAAAATCTAAAAAGAAAACTATATTAGGACCATTTAAATTTTGTTAAATTTATATTAAAGGGCATTTTCGTATTATAGCTTCACTTTAATGGTGTGCATTTTTTATATTTCCTTAAAGTTCTATTTTTTTAAAATTGAAAAGGAAAAATAAAAAAAAAATTAATTTATTTTAAAGAGAATTTGGGTAATTATAATATCACTTTGCAATAAACTAGATATTTAGGGAAGTTTTATGTCAATTTTTTTTCTTTATGAGTGAAGATACAAGAAATTCTTTCTCCACTCTCTCTCTCTAGTATTCCTTTCTCTCAACCCCCAAAAAGATACCCTTTTCTTTACCTTACTCCTCCTATTTATAGAGGTTTACAAATATTGATGGACTGCTAGATCTAGGCCCGTTCCTCCATGAGTCCCGGTCCTCTTTGATGGGCCTATGCGCGTTCGGCCCATATGGTAGTGCCTTTTTATGGGCCTGACCCACCTGTACGGACTCAATGCCGCGTTTGCAAGTCACACCTAGCCCATGTCATATCGGGCCTCCTCAACTGCCCCCATAATTACCCCTTGTTTAATAAGGGGGTAATTATTGAAGGCGTCTCATCATGACGTTGACGGCTCGAGAAAACCACATGGGGGAACGGACGGTCAGATCCAGAATCAATGTTCCGGGGCTCGATGAAGTTTTCACCTTCCTGACGCTTCGGCCCTCGGGCCCCCCTCGCCTTTATAAGGCTCTAGAATGCCATTCCATGCCTTTTTACCGTCTCCATCATCAGTCAAATCTCTCTCCTTTTAGAACAGCGCTAAGCTTTTTCCGGTGAAATCCTTCAAGAATCGTTCTTCCAGCGGTTTTGCAGTGCTCTTTGTTGCTTTCTACCTCAGAGGTTAGTTTCGTTCCTTTTTACTTTCGGCAGGCTTCTTTTTACCCCTTCTAGATCCTTCAAACACCTCCACCATGGTTGTAGATCTGGATGTTCTTCGTATGAGACTTAGACTTCCTGACAACATCGAAGTTAGGGTTTGCCCTAAGGATGTTAACATTATGACCGGTGCCAGCCTCCTGCCCGGCGAAGTCTTATTCACGAACCTTCAATTGAATGTCGTTAGGTTCCCTCTGCACCCTTTCTTTAGTTATGTCTTCAATAGATTGGGGATATCCCCCCTGCAGGTAAACCCCAATTTCCTTAGAATCATATCTGTTATGCTCCTGTTGATGCGTGACAGAAATCTGGACCTTGACCTCATAGATCTTTTTCTGTGTTATAAGGTCAGTAAGATCCGTACTAACGAGCCCTTCTACCACCTCTACCCGTTCGAGAAGATGTCCATATGTACGGACACAATAAAATCTGAAAAGGGTTGGAGGGATAGCATCGTGGGCATTAGTGGGGCTTGGTCTTCGCCGGCTGTAGAAGGTTACCCAATCCCGAGCGCCTTTGGTGTCTGTTCTGTTTTCTCCTATAAGAAATTCAAGTCTCATAAACATGATTGCCCCTGCGAAACATGCGTTCCCCGTTTTTGTACTTTCTTATGCCGTTCCTTAGGAATACCTTGTGATGACTTGAGCTACAGTGTTTGCAGGGATAGGAGTAATTACTTGAAGAAATACGTTCTGAACGATATTCCTTCCTGCTCAGATCTCCTCACTTTAGACAACCTCTTAGCGCTCTCATCACTCGGCTACAACATGAGCAGGCTTCAGATTCCTTCTTTTGGCAGGAAGAAAAATACTCCCCCAGCCACTCCTGCTGCTGGGGCGACCTCCTCTCCAGCATCAGCCTCTTCCTCAGCCACCATCTCTGACACTATCCCGAGCACATTGGCTATTAACTCTGTTGTCAGCACCCCTGCTGCCAACCCGAGCGCGTCTCCCCAAACTACCACAGCTCCTGCTGCCGCGGGGGGCGTTCGGGACAAAGAACGAGGCAAAAGGCCTCATCCTGACAGTGGAATCGATCCTGAGGAGGAGCCTCTCATAAGAAGGACCCGGGTCTCCGGGCCGGGTGCTCTCTTGCATCGCCCGATCAGAGCTCCTGCTCCCTCCGGGCCTATTGCAGCTGGTGCCTCTGCTTCTGCTTCAGGCCCCCCTTCTATCCCCACCTTACCGCCATGGGCCCCTCGGTACACCCGAACGGATGGGACGTTCGTGAAACCGAACGAGACCATGCTGAAGGATGGCCAGACCGCCATGGCGTACTATAGGAGCATGTGGACTCCGAAAGACCTTGAGGCGGCAAAGGGCCTATCCCAGAAGGATGTGTTCAGCCGCTTTCCCCAATCTGCTATGGAGGTGACTTTTATTTTCCAACTCATGAATTCTCTCATATTATTTGGTCTTGCCTTCGCCCGACCTGACTATTGGCTTAACCGTTATTAATGTACATCTATGCAGACATTGTTCGGAATGATGGCTATGCAGAAGCAGGTGGAGATGGGGAACGCCAGGGCTCGTAAGTTTTCTGATAGCCTGGAGGTGGCTAATAAAGAAAACGACCTTCTCGCCATCAAAAATACCGAGGTACTGGCTCGGCTTGAAAAAACTGAACAAGAGAGAGATGTCCTGAAGAAGGAGAATGACTCTCTTCAGGATGAGAAGGATGCCCTCCAGCTTGAAAAGAGCGTCTGGCAGACTGAGCGTGATTCAATCAGAGACGAAAAGGCAGAGCTCCAGCGCCTTCTGGCTGATGAACAGTCTGCTCGGATGGCTTTTGAGAAGAGAGCTCTGGACGAGCGTACCGCTCTGATCGATGCGATCAGCAGAGTGAGCGGTGGGATGCTGGCTCTTCACGCTCGGTTCTCAAGGGTCGGTGCTCTTAGATATGCTCAAGGATTCCGAGAAGGTTTCGCCGACCGAGTTCCGGATGAGGGACAGACCAGCTCCACTCCAGATGAGGTCGACAAGGATTTAGGGATCGAACCTCTGGGGGTCTATGTTGACCCAGAACCCACCGAAGCGGAGCGCATATTCGATGAGTGCCAGGACATTGCTTCCTCAAGGATCATTACAGCTCCTCCTACCGCTCTGCCTCTGACCGCTCCTCAATCGTCAACTGTGGTACCTTCCATAGCCACTGCTAACGTTGAGCCCCAGCCGAACGATTCAGTCATTCATCTTGATTCCCCACCTCGTGAAGGTGAGACGGCTGATGGGACCGAGGAGGGGGGTCGGCACAACCAGGATGCTGTTGGTACTGAGGCAGCTAGCTAGGACTCCTCCGGTCTCTTCGATTCCATACCCTTTTTGTAACTATGTGACTTGGATATCTCATTTTTTGTAAACTCAATGCTTATTACGAATGAAATGACAAAACTCTTTTTCCCTTTTTCCTTTGTGCTATGCTCTGTTCAACCTATTTTGAATACATATATGCCTTTTGTCTCTTTTCTTTTATATTAACTTTGCCGTGTGTTTGTTTATGGCAAGTGTCTGGCGTTCGGCTTATGGTGCCGGCTGCCACCTTTAAGTGCCTGGCGCTCGGCTAGAATGCCACTTGCCACTTGGCGTTTCATTTTTTAGCAAGCGTCTGGCGTTCGGCTTATGGTGCCAGCTGCCACTTGTCTTGCTTAAGTGCCTGGCGCTCGGCTAGAATGCCAC